CGCGACCCAGCGGCCCGCGGGATGAGCCCAACGGCCTGGCCCGCGGGGTTGCCACAAGGACCTCGCGTTCCCGCCAGCGGCGAACGCGCGTTTGTTGCCGGCGAAGCGGCGACGGCGCCAAGGATTATCGATTTGCGCGCCCCAGCCAAAAGGCTTGGCGTTCGCTCGGACGTGGGAATTTTTCTCAGCAGGGACCATCGATCATCGAGGAGCACCCTGGATCATGGAGCGCAAAGGCACGCGCGAAACCGAGCAACGCACATGGAATGGACGCCCGTGCGATGACAGGAGGGGGAGGAGTGCGCATGAGCAGAAGACACAGGAGGAGGTTACGGATGAATGAGCGTCTCCAAAAAAACAGACACCTGACTAAAGCGAGCGGCGAAAGCTCAGGCGTTCCCGGCTTGCGTCCTGGTTCCTATCCTGTTGGCCAAGGGCCGTGGTCCATCCTCCCGCCGTAGGACGGCGGCAAGGGATCCTGCGCCGGGGCAGCCTCTTGCGGCGCCGGAGGAGGTACAGGCACGATCGCCACCTGTCAGGAGGAACAAAAAAAAAACAGACACAATTAATCGTCGATCCCCTAGAACATATTGGAAAATATGGGAAGTGGGGGGGGGAAACGAAAATCCAAAACATATGGCAAATATGGGGAATCTTTTTATTTGTGTGTATTCACTTGTGTGTCCCAGGGCCGCATTCAACCTGTCGCGTATCAGCACGGGTGACGGGACCAACGGAGACCGCACCGAAAGGGATAGTTCGATCGAAAGCAATAGGGAATGTTGGGCTCAAGTCTACTCAAAAATTGAACGCCATTGCGGGTGGGCGGCAGGCAGCTCTTGCCAAGTATGGCCCCCCTTTCTTGGGACCGATCCCCGCACTGGAGGGGCAAAACATGCTGGACTGATGTGTGCAGACCCCAGGGGGTGAACTAGTGGACCCCGGCCCCATAAACGCAACAATCTGATACCGCCGAGGTTTTGCGCTAATTTGACAAGACACGGCGGCGTCACCTTGCAAGCGTCCAGCGGAGGCGACTGCTCATGCTCGGGTATCAGGAGGCACCGGCTACACTGGAGGCTAGCAAACCACCTGGCTCCAATTATGAAAAAGTTTGGGCTCTCCGACCTTGGACACGTCGGCCAGCCTGGTAGGGGGCAGCGCCAGGTGTGGGAGGAGGGCCTCCGCCAAGGCAAACAGGAAAGGCCGAAGGAATGACAGGTAGAGAGCCTTTTTCCTGTCTCGAGGTCGACGATAGGGGGTTACGTAGTAACTTGTGAGGGCGCTGTGCGCGCGGGGTCCCGCCGCCGGAGTATTTTCGAACAGGGACGGCCTGCGCAAGCCAGGCAGTATGTGTGGTACCCCCGTCGCCATTTTCAACGCAATGTAATTTGCTGACGTTTCGCGCATCCCCATAAGCTGTCACCTTGCCGCGCCATCATGGCTACGTATAGCTCCTTGGTCCATTTTGTGCATCAGCACTGCCCCCGGATCCTGGTCCTGGTTGCAGTTTGCATCGCCCGATTCGGCAAGGTTTCGGGTCCTGCCCCGCTTCTTGGCACCACCTCGCGCAGCCCGGCAGTTTAGGCAGCTTGGGCAGCTTAGGTTCGGCCGTCGGTCCCCGTGCGCTAGGCAAGTCGGTTTGCGCGTAGCCCGCCCGACTTCTGACGCTGCTGGCGCGCTCGCCTGCGGCCGCGACGGAAAAAATATCCGCATAAGCCCGTCCTGAAACGATGACGAGGAGAGTTGTGGCGATCAGGGAAGTGCAGAGGCAAAAAAAGGGGCAGCTGCTACCTTTCAAAGAGGACGGAGGGGGGCATGGAGGAGGAGGCGGAGGATGCAGAGGAGGGATAATGAGAGGGAATGGGCAGACAAGAACGAGGAGGAGGAGGAGGAGGAGGAGGAGGAGGAGGAGGAGGAGGCGGTGGAGGAGGAGGAGGAGGAGGAGGAGGGGGAAGAGGGCGAGCAGAAGGCCTGAGGCCTCTTGGCTGCCTCTCGGAGTTTCTAGGGAAGTTTCTGGGGGGCTTCCTGGAAGGACTCTTGGGGCATCGCCTCTTAGGGGCCTCTTGGGGGTCTCCTGGGAGCCTCTTTGGGCTCGCTTGGGCGCCTTGGTGGCCCTCCTGAGGCCATCTGGGAGAAAGTTGCCCAAAGAACGCGGGAACTTCACTTCGCATCGCTTCTCTGGAGCCCCCAAAGTCGCCTCTTGGAGCTCTCTTGGGGCGCTCTTGTGGCGCTCGCGGTCGCTCTTGGGGCCGTCTTGGGGCCTTTTTGGGTCTCTCCTGGGTTTTCTTGGGCCATCGTGTATCCATTTTGACGCTTCGGAAAACCATCGTTTTCGGAGGATTTAGGCTTCTCGGGTGCCCTCGTAGGGGTGCTCCGAGGCCACTTGGGGCCGCCTTGGGGCGGTCTTGGAGCCTTTTGGATCACGACGGAGGCTATCTTGAGCTATCTTGAGCCTTTTTGCAGGCAGTCTTGGGCTCTCTGAAGCCCTCTGGGGGCCATCTTGGGCCATATCGGGCGCTCCAATCTGTCGCGGGGCGCCTTGTCCAGGTCCAAAGGGAGGGAAAAGAGGAGTGGTAAACCCCATCTTCGGAGGGGAAGGGGGGAAGATGGACCTTGTGGGGCGATGTTTGCTTCCGCTGGACACACACTAAACAACCTACGCCCAGAGGGCTGGTGGGATTAATCGCGGGGCGCCCGGACGTGATTTATATCAGGCAAGTACACTTGGCATAACCGTTTGGCAGATGGGTGTAGGATGGTATTCACCCTGTCTAAGTGCCAACAGAGTGGCGGAGGTGTTCTGTATTCTTTAGCGAGCAGTGACGAAACTTGTTTTCCGAAGGGAGCGAGGATGGGGTGGAGAAGAAGTTATCGCGCCAAACATCACGCCCAAAAGGGGTGGCAACCTTCGTAATGTTTTTCTTTTTGTTCCCCTTGCCACTGCCCTCGTCTCAGCTGTGTGTGCTTATCCTCGTCCTCGTCCTCCTCCTGATCGCCCTCTCCACCCAGTTCATCCTCTCCGTCCCCCTTCACTTCTTGTCGCTCTCCCGAGTATTTACTCTCTGGGCACCCCTGCAGCCCTCAAAAGTGTCCTCTTGAGGGACCATCGGTGGTGCTGGGGCTGTCTTCGCGTTGTGGGGGATGGTCGTTGGGCCGCCGTTGGGGCCAGGGGATAGTTTCGGGGAGTGTTGGGCGTTGGTCTTGGGGCCCCGTCGCGGCCGCCTCGGGGCAGCCTTGGGCCGTCCGAGAGGGGACGTCCTTGAAGGAGTCCGGGGCCGTCTTGGGGGCCGGTGTCGTCCAGAAGCCTGCAAGATACAGTGCAAGGCCATGTTGGGCGGAACATCGAAGACGAGAATCAGGTTCCGAATCTGTGTCCTTTGACGGTTCAGTTTCGCCTTTCTTGGGGGGTCCTGGCGTTTTTCCTGGCATCGTCTGGCTGTGTCTGGGAGAGCACTGCGCTGCCAAAGCCGCGAGCGGCGCGTACGCCACCGTGTTTTCATGGCCATCGTAAGAACTGGCTGGAGGGCAGGGGGGCAGCCCGGGGAGGGCTTGCTCTGAGCAGCCAGCAGTGGACCGACGCGGCGTCGCGCGTGGGCGCATGCTGGCTTCGGTGCGGGGCGGTGCCGGGCGTGACTCCGATCCGAGAGGCAGGCCTCGGATGCACGGGAGCGTGGCTTGACGCCGGCCGTGACCATGCGCGGGGATTGGTCAGAAGTGTTTGTGGGTGTGTGCGTGTGCGTCTGTGTGCGTGTGCGTGTGTGCTTGTTTGTGTGGAGCGCGCTCGGGGTTGAAGTCTTGACGTCTGAGTGCCTTCCGCCCTTTCCCACATTTGCGGCCGCCTTGTCTGTCTTGTTCCCTCCTCCTGCATGCTGGCCAATTCGCCTGTCGATTGCCCCGAGTCGCTTCCCGCTGGTGCAGAATACCTCTGCCTCGCCGTCGACGAAAAAGTATATATGTGTATGTGTGTGAGTGGTGGTGTGTGTGTGTGTGCGTGTGTGCGTGTGTGTTTGTGTGTGTTTGTGTTTGTGTGTGCGTTTGTGCGCGTGTGTGAGTGGCGGTGTGTGTGTGTGTGTTTGTGCGTGCTTGTGTGTGTGTGCTTGTGTGTGCGTGCTTGTGTGTTAGTGTGTGCGCGTGTGTGCGCGTGTGTGTGGCCGCGGCGCTGCTTGCTCCGAGCGGCTCGAGAGCTCGGCCCGTGCGCGCGCGCGCCCTCTTCTCTGAGCCTGCTGCGCCCCCGTCGCTGCGCTCGGGGCCGCGGCACCAACAAGTTTGTGTGTGTAAAACACACACACACAAATTGGACGCGCGGCATGATGCCAACTGCGACCGCTTAGTTTGCCACCGGGTTCTCCCCATCACGGTGCGATTTTTTTCTGATGAGCGCTATGCGCGAGTGTGGTTTGGTCTTCGTCGCGCTATTGGGATAGCCCTCTAGAAGGGCAGCGGATGTGTCGCTTCTCTTGCAAAACAAAAGATTGTGTGTGTACAGTGGAGGCCCCTGCCAAGAAACTCCCTGCTGAAACACCCTGCTGGCCTCCAGGGTGCCGCTGGTTTTGAGATCTCGATGACTTTGCGACGGGAAGCGTGGCGTTCCCACGCCAAGAATCCATGGACGTCTTGAGGTCCCAGGGTTGGGTTCCTTGTTGAAGGTCTCTTGCGGTCGGGCCTCTACTGTGTGTGTGGGTCTGTGCGATGTCTTTGGGTGGAGTGCTTTCTTCCCCGTTGGCGGAGCTTCGAGCTGCAGGGTCAGCACCCTGTTGCCAAGGAGACGGCCAAGGCACAGGGGGGAGGACCTTGGGAGAACTTTGGAAGCGACGTTGCAGGGGGAGGACCTTGGAAGCGAGAGGCGTGCTTCGTCATTCTACTGAAGGCCACTGCCACGGTCGCAGGATTGCCTAGATGAGCTTCAGCGACAGCGAAATCATGTTCTCATTTCGCAGCCGAGGTTGACGCCGAGCTGTCTGCCATCGTCGTCTCTCCCCGCGCCCCGAGAGAGCACAATGCTCACAGTTGCTCAGATGTCCCCTCTGGCAAGTCCTGTCTTGTCAGGCACTGCTTTGTTTGGCTGTTCAATTCGTTGCCGCCGTCGTGCCAGGCCCGTGTACGACGGCGACTATCCCGCGTGCATGCGATGCGCTTGTGGCGCGCCGCGACGATTGTATACTCTGATGTTGTGCTCCTGCTTTTGGGTCGTGCTGAAGCACATCGTTGCTGTGGTCCAGGGGCAGTGATCTTCCAACTGCTGTAGAAGATCGAATGCAGCGCATGGGAATATACTTTCTGGTTATCTGTTGTGACATGAAAGCCGCCGTGTTAAGGTGCTTCGTGCATGTCATGTATCATGCCCCTGTATCTCGACAAGAGTGTCCTTGTACTCCCCCTGGTCCTGACTTGTTGTGTCGTTCTCCTCTCCGAGGAAGTGCCTGCCGCGCCGCGAATGTTTGGTCCGTGGCCCATTCACCAAGCGCGTTCCACTATTTGCAAACCGCCTACTCGCAAACGTGAGAAAACAACGCATGCTTGCCCCAGGCTTAATGTATCGTAACCCTTGGCCATTTGCGAGTATTTACTTTGCGAGCAGTGGTGACGTGGCCCACGACGCGTCAGGCAGCATCGGCCAGGGCGCGTCAGAGCTGACCGCTCACCCACCGTTGCAGGGCAAGAGGGGGGAGGGGGAGGGCGGTCACCCAGGATGGCGAAGAGGGGGTGCCCCTCCCAGAGCGTGTAGCATCATCGAGAACCAAAGTACCCCTAACCCTACGAGCACGATGAAGACGTGGCCTCACTTAGGTCCCCGTCTTTGCGTCAGGGATCATAGATCTGGGCGACTCGGTCTGATACACCAGTCGGACCGAGGCATAAGATCGAGGTCGGGTCGGGGACGGTACCCTATAGTGTTCTTCGTGTTTGTGGGGTGCTCTTATGCAGCCTCGGGAGGGTCCCCTGGATGCTCTTTGTGATTGGGCCGGCGGAGGGTCTCCTGCTCTTGAGGGATGTTCTTCTGGCCCAGGTCCGATTCGGATTATATGCATGTACATATGTGCGTATATGAGGCGTTCCGACAAGGGCCTCGCCTTAGAGGCTCGGAGGAGCTGCTATCTCTTTCTAGTGGCGGAGGGAGGCGGAAGGTCGGCGGACGGCGGCGGAGGTCGAGCGGTGGCGGCTCGGCCGGCAGAAGAGAGCGTTTTTTGGTTAGCGGGCAAAGAACTATGCACAGCCTCCAATTCCCTCTTCCTCCTCCTCCTGCTCCTCCTCCTCCTCCTCCTCCTCCTCCTCCCTTTCCTCCTCCTCCGCCTCCTTCTCCGCCTTCTCCTCCTCCTCCTCCAATTCCCTCCCCTCCCGCGCAGAGAGAACCATGCACACACACACACACACCGATTCTGGCCAGGCCCATCCTGAGCCCAGGATCGGTGCATCCGCCCTCCTACCTTGGCCAGGAAGGCATATGCACCGATCCGGGGCCAAGGATGGGCCAGGCCAAGATCGGCGCATGTGCATACAGTGCCGTTTTTGGCACATGCTCCGCGTGCGGATCATGTATTAAAGATGCAGGGATTTGGTATCAAAAACAACGATGAGTTCATGCAATCATTTATTCCTCAAATAATTATGTATTAAACATCTTAAATGTTTGAAGATCCTATGTATTAAAAACTGCCCTGTAGTTCTCTTCGCCCGATTGGTTCCGGCCTCACCGAGGGGCCCGTTCCTCGATACATAGCAGCCTCCGGCGCCGGGAGGCGCCGGGAAAATCAGCTACGTGAGCTGATTCTCAAACCCCCCCTTTGCTATCCCCCCCTTTCGCCCGACCCGAACAGTTCTCTCCGCCCGAGTGGGTCCAGGGTTGCCGGCACTTTAAGCATCCTGTTATTTTAAAAGTCCGGTATGTTAAAAAATCCGGCATTTTAAACAAATCCTGTGTATAAAACATTGCCCTGTAGTTCTCTTCGCCCGATTGGCTCCGGGTTGCCGGCACTTTAAACATCCTGCATGTTTTGAATCCGGCGTTTTTTTAATCCGGCATTTAAAACAAATCTTGTGTATGAAGCATTGCCCTGTAGTTCTCCTCGTCCGATTGGGTCCGGGTATGAAACCCTGTGTGTGTTAAACACAGGTTAAGCACTGCCCTGTATTAAACCCTGCCCTGTATTAAACCCTGCCCTGCCCTCCGATTGGATCCTGTGTGTTAAACACTGTATTCAACCCTGCCCTGTATTAAACCCTGTATTAAACCCTGCCCTCCGATTGGATCCTGTGTATTAAACCCTGCCCTGCATTAAACCCTGCCCTGTATTAAACCCTTTCGCCCGACCCGAACAGTTCTCTCCGCCCGATGGGCTCCCGGGTTGCCGGCACCTGCCACCGCACGGGGGAAAGAGGGGCTCCCCCGGGCCCCCCCCCGTGCCGGCACCCCGACCGCCGCCGGGTGTGGCCTCTGCGGGGGCCCCCAAAAGCGGCGCGGTGACCACACCGTGCGGTGGGTCGGCGGTTACGGAAACGGAAAGAGCGCTTCAGAAACAGAAACCGAAATTACGCACACCACCGTTCGTACTGGGAACCTTGGCGTTGAGAGCTTGTCACGTCAACCCTCGCTCTTGGGAGCCTCGCTGTTCAGAGATTGTTGCGTTGCCGCCCGTTCCTGAGCCTTGGCTGGGGTCTTCGACATGTGCGCAGACACCCGCCGACGAGCTCTGCATGTGCCTGCAGGGAACGTGACGCTGTACAACCTCGCTGGCTCTCAATAATTTACCAGCCCCGAACGTATCCCTATCCCTAAGATTGACACGCCAAAAGGCGACGACAATCTTAGGGATTCGCACTCAGAAAATAAGGGAATCCCTAAGATGGGCATCGTGATGAGGAGGTGCCCAGCATAGGGATAGGGATATGTTCCAGGCTGGTAAGGCGGGGATTCGGGGCCACCGCACGGCTGTGGGTTAAGTCGGGCCTGTCCCCCTACAGGGGCATTTTCGACGAAAAATACAAAATACCGAAAACAAAATAAGAAATATAGTCCAAAAGTAGTCTGGGCATTATTTTTGGTGTATTTTCTGAGAATTTGGAAGTATTTTGAGCGTATGTTTCTTAATTTTTCGTTGGAAATCCCCTGTAAAGGGACAGGCCCGACTTAAGTTTTGGGACTCGAGGCCTTCTCCGAGGACGCCTCGGGCGACGGGCCTCCAGGGTCCCAAGACCGTGCGGTGACGGACCGTGCGTTGAGGTCTTGGAGGATGATTTCGAGGTCACCGCACGGTCTGTCACCGCACCGTTTCGGGACTCCAAACGACCACCGCTGGGTGGACCGGGGTTCCTGCGCGCATTATTGCACCAGCTCGAGAAGGTCGCCCCGCGGCTCAGGAGAAGGTCGCCCCGCGGCTCAGAGCAGCAAGGGAAGGAAGAGCAAGACGAGGAGGAAGCATCACGTCGGGAGCCCCAGATCGACGCCGGTGGCGCTCATGCAGCCGTCAAGACGATCCACGGCGGCCTCGAGTCGTCCCAATGGCGGCCTCCAGACGTACAGTATGCGAAGGTTCCTTCGGCGCCTCCAGGGGCCACGATTGCCTCCAAGACGCCCCGAGAGTGCTGCGGCCCTCCAAGACGGCTCCGAGAGTCCCAAATCATGGATGTCCCCAGAGTACTTGGAGGTTTTAGGGTTCTCGCCGTTTCGGGCTTCCCACGGCCCAAGACAGCTCAGGAGGCGCCACAAGTCGCCCAAAGGCGGCCCAAGAGGCCTCCAAGGAAGCCTCAAGAACTCCCAAAAGACCTCCAAGATAGCTCAAGAGAGCCCCAAGACGGCCCGAGCAAGCCCCAAGACGGTTCGTGAGAGCCCCAAGAGGGCCCCAAGATAACCCCAAGAGCACCTCAAGCGTTGCCCAAGAGAGCTCCAAGACGGCCACTGCATTCTCAGACGGCTCGGGAGGGCCCCAGGGCGCCCAAGAGAGGTTCAAGAGCACCCCCAAGAGACCACAGAGAGTCCAACAAATTTGACTTCTATTACTAGTGTTTGTTGGTATGTACAGTTTTCGCCTTTTCAGGTTCCCGACGCTCCAAAACGGCGCAAGAGGCGCCGAAAGTCCGCCCAAGACAGCCCAAGAGGCCCACAGGGAGGCTCAGGAAAGCCCAAGTACGGCCCAGGAGAGTCACAAGAGGTCCCCCAAAAGAGCCCCAGGAAAGCCCCAAGAGGCCCCCAAGAGAGCTCTAGGACGGCCAAAGCCTCCCAAGGCGACCCAGAAGGATTTACATTGCTTCCAAAGCGCCTGGCTTTCGACAACAGCTCCCGGAGGCCAGAATCATTGATGCCTCTCCAGTTTTTCTATGGTTCGAAAGTTCTTGCCTTTTCGAGCTTCCGACGGCGCAAGACGGTTCAGGATGCGCCACAAGTCGCCTAAAGACGGCCGAAGAGGCCGCCAAGAAAGCCCCAGGAGGGCCCAAAAGGGCTCCAAGATAGCCCAAGAGGGGCCCAAAGCGGCCCAAGCAGGCTCCAAGGCGGCCCGGCAGGGCCTCAAGATACTTTTAGGTCGGGCATGTCCCTCTACAGGATGAATATTGACAAATATGGGAAAAATAGTGTGTGGCGGGTATTTTAACGCTATTCCCAAACGATTCCAAAAATAGTGTGGACATCGTTTTCTGGATACTGCCTAGGCGAACGTACGATGCGCGCGGATGGGAACACAATGCGCGGCGCCACACCACCATGACTGTTTTCGCCGCGCTTGGTGACGGCAGCGCGCGTTATCGCGTTTTAGCACAGGCGCGCGTCTATGGCGATGTGGTTTGCGAAACGTGCACAATGAAGGTCGACCGCGCGCTACCATCGTAGACTGGATGGCGCGGCGCTGCGATTAGATTAGCACGCGGCGTTAGCAAGTCGACGAGTACCCTTTGGGCAGCCGACAATGAAAACAAACAAATGCCCGATCAGTCTTGGTGGCCGCTGGCACTCAAGCTCTCGCTTCAAAAATCAAATCGTCTCTCGTATGTACCCCCTCGCTCCTGCGCGCCATCCTTGTGCATCCTCCCCACCCGACTCCCTCTCAATATAGGTGGCGCGCATAGACCTGTGCCCCCTGCGCTCGGCCACTGGTTTTTTTTTGTCACTCGCGCGGGGTATTTTGCGCAAGGAGCGATCCTGACCGGACAAGGCATCACCACGTTGATGCTATCTTCGAGTAGATCTGAATAGAGAAGGAGATTACACGGAGCGCGGTAGGAGTGGGCTGGAGGTTGTCCATGAGTCATTTGGCGCAGGATTAGGTTAGACCCGATTACGAATAGGACAGAACTGGAGTCGGCGTAGACATGTCCAGTTCTTATATAAAAGTGAAGAAGAGGCTTGCGTGTGCCGTTGTAGTGGGTAGAGTAGATAAAGGGTACATTGAGGTATGTGGCAGGGCCAATTACGATTAAGGCTACATGTGCACATTCGCGTATACACATACAAGCACATCACATGTGAGGTTTACCCATTGGATCGGTAAGGTGGTCGCGCGGATCGCGTGGAGCCAGGGGTACGGCGCATTTGACGATGGCAAAGCAACATGACTACTTGTATACATGCGCAGTGCCACCCGCCACTTGTTATGATCTTCCAAAGATATCCCATTTGTTCTTTCTGCACTTTTCCAAAATGCGAGAATACTCCAAAGATGTGCGCCTGCCGATTGCGCAAATTTCGAAATGCTCCAGATATGCCCCCGTGGCGACTTCTGATATTTCAGAATGCTGCAGGAGACGCCCGCCGACCACGTGCGAGACATCAGAACTTCCCAGGACGCAGCGCGTTGCCATCTCCGACAGTTCCAGGTCTTCCAGAAGATGCCCCCGCTCGTTTTCCGGGAAGCGCTACCTTGAGGCGGGTCCCGTGGTTTTTTCTTTGAGAGGGTGAAATCTCGTAGTTATGCCCCCCTCCCCTCTCCCCTTTTCGCCCGACACCGCGCCGTTGCGGCATGTGGCGCAGTGCGCCCGGTAGCGGTTGAAACACGTTGCGTCAGGGATGCCAAACGCGCGACGCGCACTGCTGATGCGGTGCCGTCGTGGGCTGAACGGCGTGCCGCGATGTTTCCGAGCGCGTGTCGTTCCGCGCCACCGAAGCGCTGCGGCCTCATTATGTGAGGTTATCAACGCGCGCGCGCATCAAACAGGTGATGCGTCTTCGCGCGCGACGCGGCTTCCAAACGGAAGACGCTAATACTTCGCATCCATGTTTGAATCCAGTTTTCCCGCGCATCCGCTTTGGTTTTTTGTTGTCGACAAGCATTTGAACATTGGGACGGGGGGGAGGACGATGCGGGGGAACGGGGCCGGTCGATCGGTCGATCGGGATATTTTGATCGATCCACCGATCGATAAAAGACGAGTTTGCGGCGGCCCGCAAGCCCCCGTGGACCTTCTTTGTTGCAGCGCTTCTCGTTTGCTATATGCGCGCGTTGCGATCAGCGTATGCCTGTGGATCGTCTACACGTGTGGATTGGCTGTTTTCTGGTGGTTCCCCCCGCGTCCCCTCAGGGCGCATGCTGCGTCTGTCGCTTGTCCTCGAGGTGGGCCCAATGGCAACCAACTGCACGGATCCGGCTGCGTGCGCAGTTGGGTCGGTTCATTTTCGGGCGAACGCGACGCCGTTGAATGTGTATGGAGTTGCTCGTTGTAGCGACGTAGCTGCGGCTATAGTTTACGCGGCGTTGAAAGATGCCCCTTTTGTCTGGCGCGCAGGGCGCTGTGTATTTCACGCGCGCCGAAATACGCAAGGGGGGAATCGCGAAACAAATCAATCTTCTTGCAGGGATCGTGCATTTGCCGAAGTATTTTCTAGGAGCATCCCCGAACTCGTTCGAAACGTGCATTGGAAAACCACGGATAGTTATTATTATGATGATGTTCGTATTTCTTCCACGCATCGATTGAAGAGGACATGGCGGACAGAAATTTGGCTCCGAATGCACTCCAAGAGGTCCATTAAAAAAACTCCAAGACGGCCGAAGCGCCGTCACAAACTTTTGAAAAGGCCGAAGGACGGCCCACGATCGCTTCTGGAGGGCCCCCAAAAGGCGACGCGAGGTGCCTTCCAGACGGGCTAGGAAACCCCGAGAGGCCGCCAAGGCAGACCAGCAGGGTCCATGCTCCATGGGGGGCACGATCCGTTTGAAGGGTGTGCCGACATGAGCGGAGGAACGCAACAGACAATCCGCATAGCAAAGATGGGGCACCTTCCCAAGGGTACCCTTTGATTCTTTGCTTTTCGGTCCATCCTTGGCAGCTTTCGTTGACCGCGCCCCGCTCGAAAACCTTCGAAGTGGGCGTCCAAGGCCTTGACATCGTCGTCGCGAATCATTTTGACACCGGCCGACTGCATGAGATCCCGCCTCGTCCCGCTCGCGTTCATTCTTTGTTCCTTCCTTCGACCTTCCTCTAGACACCTGGCATCGCTCGGACTTGTGCATTCTTCCTTCGGCGAGGACCACCGAGGAGCATCCTTGATCATTTGGAGAAAAAACCACGCACGAAACCGCAACAAAAAAACAGGGAATGGACGTCCGAGCGATGGCAAGGCGTGGGTTCATCCTTCCGTCCAGCGGTACCCTCGTGCCTGACTCCTCTCGCTCTGCCCTCGGCGCTCCTCTGCCCCTCCATGGGCCGGTCCCGTCTTCTGTCCCTTTGGAGCCTCCGCGCTTTCCTCCTCCTCCGCTCCCTTCCTTCCCCCCCCTCCTTGGTCCGCCCCCTCGCCCTAGCTCGCCGATGTCGCGGAGCGGTGTCCGCCCGAGCCGTTCAGGGGATCGCCTGCCCACCTTCACGGACGAGGAGCGCGAGCTGCTCAAGGGATCGAGGCCTTTTCTTGCCCACGCTGCCAGCGGCCGACAGCCCGGTGCGGGGGGAAGAAAGGCGGCAGTAATGAAAACGCGGCAAGGAGGAGGAGGAGGAGGAGGAGGAGGAGGAGTGGGAGGACGAGGAGGAGGAGGAGGAGGAGGAGGTTGAGGAGGAGGAGGAGGAGGAGGAGGGGGGAGGAGGATGAAGGGAGGAGGAGGAGGGAGGAGGAGGAAGAAGAAGAAAAGACGAGGAGGAGGAGGAGGAGGGAGGGAGAGAGGGAGGGAGGGAGGGAGGGAGGGAAATGGAAGGAGGAGGACGAGGAGGAGGAGGAGGAAGAGGAAGGACGAGGAGGCCAGGGGTCTAGCAGTGGTCGCTGGGGACTTCGACCAGGCGAGGATGGGAGAGCGGTGCTGACATGGGTGAAGTCGTATTGATTGAAGGGGAGGGGATAGCGAAGTGCTCGAGGGAGGAGGCGGGAGGGGGGGGAGCGGGGCATGGAAGGAGCCATGCAATATCTTTAGACTCAGACTTGATCGCATCCAACGCCTTCCTCGGACTTTGTGAGGCCGGTGCCAGAGAACATGTTTGTTGTCCCCACGTTTTGACAGCTCAGTTCGAGGCAGCGCACGTTGCGCGACCTCTTTGTCTACAAGAACGACCGGCGTACTCAAATAACATGTCAATGTGTACTGACTCGCCTTTCACCTACAGCACACGGCATTCATTGGAGTCTACACATTGTTGCAATGTTAGTCAGATCGGGCCTCATCCTTAGTCGCCTCCCACGTGGAAGTATATAAGCTTGTTCACATCAGTTGAGGAACCACGTTCATCAAAGCCGCGAATATCTTGAGTGCATTGTCGGTGGCATCGAAATAGGGGTTTGAATGTTCAATTCCCCATTGATCTGAGTGGCTTGGGATTGATCTAGTATCTCTCTGCCATCATCCTGCAGGCAGAGGTGAAGCATCAACCGCAGTGAAGTTCGACTCCACTCACATAAATGTGGGTTCATGTTCTAGTTTTATTCCACCAGCGGGCCACGAGGCTGCACTCACCTATCCAAATTTGATCCTGGGTTGACTCGAGGCACAATCCCCATCTGGCCGACGTTTGCTGAGTCAAGACGCATTTCCTGCACGGCAGCGACTTCGCAAGCTGCTTTCGACATGTCGCGCATGCGTTCCCGACAGCGTTCGGTGTTGGACAAACGTCCGCCAATCTTTCAATAGAGAATGGGGCAGTACATGGTATGGTCCACGTGGAGGTCTCTTTTCTCATAGCATCCGCTTCGCGTTTGATAAACATTGGAACAGTGGCGTTGTGCAAGCAAGCTATTCCATGTGTTTGACCTCAACGCGTTGGTACACCATGGTGCGGGCTCTCAACGATTGCGCTTCGCTATTGACCCGTCAACTACTCTCGCATGTTCCGTCCACTACTTCTCTGATCTCAGAGGCACTACCGTGCCCCTTCCTCTCCACTCCCTCTCGTCCTAGCCCCGCCTTCCTCCATCAACATCCTCCCTTTCACCCTCCCTAGATCTTTCTATGAACACCTCAGGAGTTTTCTCATCATCCCATCTTTCTGCCCCAAGACTCCCCTCTTGGCTCAAATTGGCTCAAATTCGCATGGATCTGCAGCGATGAGTACAGCTTTCCAGAGTTCTTGTCGGAACGGCCCCACCACGTGTTGCTCATATGATTCGGCAACCTTGTGTGGTGGAAGACTCTACCAACATATCCCAGTCCAAACGTCGCTGGCTTCGTGACAGGTGAGTTGCCATACGCCATGCGACATACAAATCGTACGAAAGTGTTTGTTGCATACTTCTGTCTTTTCGTTATCAATGGAAGCCCAGACAAGCACATCAGTTCCAGTACTATGGTTCGTTTGGAAGCGAAAAGGAATTTCATATTGCAGCATCTTGGACATGGCGTCCCCTCACCGGGCATTGAGGCATCGACTGAAAGTTTACGGGGTTGCGTGGTCACGGCTATGACATTCGGAGCATGTTTCAGAACGTGTCAATCGTAGTGATGCTGATGAGACGGTCATTGCTCGAGCAACGCACGATGTTGAAAGAAGGCGAACGAGGACATCTGGGAAGCAAGATGTGGATGTTCTCAGACGTGTGCCCCAGTCTTAACGGATACCGCATATTAGGTTCGGAGCACTTCCTTTTTGTGGCATGGGTGAAAGCAGACGGCCGTAAACGAGGAATCGATGCAAGTAGTTTCTTCTCAGAGTCACCATCTGAGGTGGCGCGGTTTTTAGCTGAACATTCTTACATGTTTTGGGCGTTTCGGCCCCACCTTGCAGCACCCGCGCGGTGCACGACGCAGGCCCTGTTTTGTCTCGTCTTCCTCCTTACCGTCCTATCGTGGCCTTTTCTGGTTGTCCATTCCTCTTTATGCTCATGTCCCGTGGTTCCACGCTTGCTGTATTTTCACACCTATTGTTTCTCTGTCCGCTCTGCCCGTTGCTCCCCCCTGTGTACGGTCACAGTGCTGTGCCGTCCCGCAGCGATTTCTTCGGGCTCAACTCGTACAGCTCGAACATGGTCGCCCGCCCCCGAACTGTTAGAGGTGGCAGCTGGAAGAGGAGGGTGGAAGTTCCGAGGAATAAGAGCGACAGCAGAATGAGGATTGCTGTCCAGGGCATGAGGACGAAACCCGACGAGGATGACAAGCAGGAGGAGAGATGAGAAGACGAGAGAGACGAGGAGCTGGCACAAGGCGAAGGGATAGGAGGATATAGGAGGAAGAGGTGGGTAGCGGACCCGGAGGAAGAATATTACGAGGACGACGGTGAAAAGGGGAACAGGGAGGGCGTACCAGGATTACCGCAATCACAAGGATGGTATAAACATGCCACCCCGCGGCTACGAGGAGCAGGAGGCCCACCCGTGGAGCCAGCTGGGAAATTGGTGGAACATGTTTTTAATGCCGCCATCTGAGTCCACCCTGGCCCCGGGCTTGTACAGACGTCGGGCATTCCCAACGAAGCGAGTGAGGAAGGCAACTTTCTTGGCCTTCCTGGAGGCCTGGCTGCGCCGCTGCATCAACTTAACAGCCGACCTCCTTTTACAGGAGGGCGTAGGCACCGATCCTGGGCTCAGGATGGGCCTGGCCATATCGGTCTACGTGCCTTCCTGGCCAAGGCAGGAGGGCGTATGCACCGATCTCGGGCTCAGGATGGGCCTGGTCAGAATCGGTGTGTGTGTGTGCCTTCCTGGCCAAGACAGGAGGGTGTATGCACCGATCTCGGGCTCAGGATGGGCCTTGCCAGAATCGGTGTGTGTGTGTGTGCGTGTGTGTGTATGCCTTCCTGGCCAAGGCAGGAGGGCGTATGCACCGATCTCGGGCTCAGGATGGGCCTGGCCAGAATCGGTGTGTGTGTGTGCCTTCCTGACCAAGGCAGGAGGGCGTGTGCACCGATCTCGGGCTCAGGATGGGTCTGGTCAGAATCGGCGCGTGTGTGTGTGTGTGTGTGTGTGCGTGTGTGTGCGTGTGCCTTCCTGGCCAAGGCAGGAGGGCGTATGCACCGATCTCGGGCTCAGGATGGGCCTGGCCAGAATCCGTGTGTGTATATATGGTTCTCTCTGCGCGGGAGGGGAGGGAATTGGAGGAGGAGGAGGAGGCGGAGGAGGAGGAGGAGGGAAGGGGAGGAGGAGGAGGAGGAGGAGGAGCAGGAGGAGGAGGAGGGAATTGGAGGAGGAGGAGGCGGAGGAGGAAGCGGAGGAGGAGGAGGAGGAGGAGGAGGAGGAGGAGGAGGAGGAGGAGAGGAGGAGGGAATTGGAGGAGAGGAGGAGGAGGAGGAGGAGGCGGAGGAGGAGGAAGGGGAGGAGGAGGAGGAGGAGCAGGAGGAGGATGCACCGCGCCGCTCTCTAAGCCGCGGGGCGCCACGCCGCACCCGAGGCGGGCTTTCCCCCGCGCTCGCTCAAGCCCCAGGCGGGGGGGCCCAGGCCGTGGAGGGAGCGGGAGGGCCAAGCGCCGGGCGGCGGGGAGCATCAGGAGGGAGAATAACACACAGACACAATAAATCGTCGACCCCCAGGGAAAGTACTGGAAGATATTGGAAGAGGAGGAGGAGGAGGAGGAGGAGGAGGTGGAGGGAGGAGGAGGAGGCGGAGGAGGAGGAGGAGATATGGGAAAGTATGGGGAATCCTGTTATTTGTGTGTATTTATTGGTGTGTCCCAGGGCCCCTTCATGGTTGCCCATTGCTGGCGAGCTGGCCCAGACAGGGCGACGCTCGGGCTGCAACCCGCCTGTTTGCTCGGCAGCGGCCCCAGAGTGGCACGGGTGGCAGAGGGGGGCAGGGAGGGCGAGGGGGAGAGGGTCAGTGTGTTTTCTAAGCGTTCGTTGTTGTGGTAGTGAAGGTAGATCGTGTTCTCAGGGTGTTGGTCCTTGAGGATCGTGTTCCTTTCTCGGGCGTCGGCTCTGAGGGGCATATTGTTTTCCTGCGCATCCGCGGTCTATACTTATACACACGCAGACATCTAATTTACAAATACGTACACGCATACATGCATACATATACCTACACAAGTACATACATATACCTATATAAATGCATACATGTACCTACACATACCTATGCAGGTACCTATACACATACCTATACCTACACATACATATACATATACCAGTACATACATACATACCTATACCTATACAGATGCATAACCTAAGCATGTACATGTATACGGATGCTCACTTTGCCCAGGACAGGAGACCCCGCCCCATGGGGCGTGTGATTCCATGGGCACTACCCCGAAGCACCACCCCAAAGCACTACCCCAAAGCACTACCCAAAAGCACTTCCCCAAGGCACTACCCTAAGGCACTACCCCAAAGCACTACCCCAAGGCACTACCCCAAGGCACTACCCCAAAGCACTACACCAAAGCACTACCCCTGTTGGGTCCCGAGATCACAACTGTTTTTGTTGATGCCTGTGCCACGGGGGCGCGGTATAACGCTTTTGTTTGGACCCTGGGATCGCGATTGAATCGGCCTTCGGTTTCGACATTACTAAGGACTTTGGCATGTTTCCAGGCGTGCTCGGGGCAACGCGTGTTATTTCCAAAGAGGGGTCGAGCTTCCTCCCTCCCCCCCAACACCCCCACCCCCCCACATACACATCCAACAAAAAATGCACACAAACGCACATACGTGTATTCAAGTTTTGTAGACAAGACAATCACCCCCCCTCCGCTATGCGCTGATGTGTTCTTGCTCCCCTGGTGTCCAAGAGTTCGGCCAACTTTGCTCCGGCCATATCAACGTCACCACGTTGAAACATGCTCCGCCGTTGTTCCAGTTATTCCGCGTTTCTTTCGCTTCTCAAAATGACCTCATGTGAGCCACATAAAAGGGACACGACAATGACGACTAAAACATATGTTTCGAACATGAAGCCCAAAACGACTGTCTGATCATCAGGACCGGGTTCCCGGATTCACAGAGTGTAGCGGGTCGTCGTCCATACAAAGCTAGGGTTGGCCTTTTCTGTTGAGTCGCATGGGTTCGCGCAGCGTCGTTGGGCGGGTTGCTTTGGAGCCCGACGAATTCTGACCTTGGGCAGAATGGAGATTGTGCGATGACTGATGCCAGCACGTCAGGATGGGACCACAGGGAAACGCAGCCAAGCTGAGCACCGCCATCTTGGTCTTGATGCTGTTCTTTCTGCCGCCCCGCGTGCGTCCGGCCACGCGCAGAAGGGGGCAGTGGCAGGGCGGGGGGAAGCTTCTCAGAAGCGCCCTCGCTTCTGAGGAGGCGCGGGCCGTGTCTGCAGATGTAAGGCCGGCGCCTCTCCAGAAGCAGCCTCCTCCTAAGAAGCGTTCCCCTCTCCCCCCTCCCCCCACCTCGTGCGCGAGGCGCCAAGCCTCATCGATCCTGGCCAGGCCGACCATCGCCCCAGGATCGGTGCATACGCCTTGCTGCCCCGATTCTGGGCCCAGGGCGATCCCGGCCAGGACCGGTGCTGGTGTATAGCTGGTGCCCTCCGAACTCTGCGGAGGCAGCTCCTGGGAGGTCAAGCTTCGGACTTCGCCCTGGTCCGCACTCCGGCTCCTTCCGGCTGAATCCCGCTTGCTCAGGCGTCATCCTGCTGAACCCCGCTCCATCATGCTCACTTCGCGGCCTCGCTTGGCGTATAGCAGTCCCCCCATGTCGCAGGCCTAGAGGTTGACACCAACACCACTATCGGCGGTGTGCCTCTATCGAGGGAAGGAGATCCCGATCTCGGTGATGGTGGTCATACTCTGGCTTCCAAGGTGACAGATATTACAACCAATCCCGAAATCTAGGATCACCTTCCCCCTGTGGGGGCAGCCCCCATGTGCTGGTGTTGGTGCCCACTTCTAGGCCTGGAAATGGGCACCAACACCAGCACAGGGGGTTTGCCTCCACAGGGGAAGGTGATCCTAGATTTCGGGATTGGTTGTAATGCTTCGGTCACCTTGGAAGCCAGAATATTACCACCATCACCGAGATCGGGATCTTCTCCCCTCGATAGAGGCACACCGCCGATAGTGGTGTTGGTGTCAACCTCTAGGCCTGCGAGGCCATGGGGCTTTTAACATTCTCCCCTATCCCTCCGACGAAGGCCTCTCCCAGCAGTTGCCTCCCAAGAAGCCCCGCAGCAGTCAGCCACTGGCTCGGGTGCGGCCCGGGCACCGCTGGCCCCGATGTGGTGGGCCTGTTTTCCACCACCACCACGAGATGGAGGGGGGAGGGAGGTGGAGAAAAAGGGGAAGGAGGAGGAGGAGGAGGAGGAGGAGGACCCCCTTCCCCTTCCACTTCTGGTGGTGGCTGTGGACAACAAGCCCACCATCAGGTCGGGCGTGTCCTCCTACATGGGGGATTGCGACGAAGACTTAAAGACTTATGTCACCAATTGTTTCATTTCACAATATTTTTTAAACAATTCTTGCAGGATCGGCCCCATACTTTTCAAACAATCATCTCTTGCATATTCCCCCTGTAGGGGGACACGCCCGACGTAAAAGCCCACCACCGATGCGCCCACCCGCGGTGCCGCGGCGGCCGGCCCCGGCGCCCGCGCCTCGCGGGCCGCCGGCGGGCCCGCGCCGCGCGGGCCGCCGCGGCGCGGGGCGGCTGCTCGGCGCGTGCGCCGCGGCCTGCGCCCTCGGCATGCGCGCGGTGCCGCTGGCGGCGAGCCTCGCGGCGCCCGCGCCCGCCGGGCACGTGGGCCTGGGGGTGGACCTTGCCGAGGGGGGCGGAAAAGGGGGGGGGGGGATGACTTGGCGGGGGTGGATATCATGGCGGGGGGCAGGATGTTTCCTCAGAGCTCATGGCGCCTCTTCTCATTTCATCACGTCCCCGGCCCCCCCGGCTGGGCCTGGGGGTGGACCTTTCCGAGGGGGTGAATCAGAGGAGGAAGAGGTTCAGGAGGGAAAGAAACGCACAGACACAACCAACCGTCGATTCCCCAGAACATATTGGAAAATACGGGCAGTGGGGGGGAGACAAAAACCCAGAAAATATTGGGAAATATGGGGAATTCAATTATTTGTGTCTGTTTATTTGTCAGGTCCCCTTCAGAGGTGCCCATACCGACACGCTTTCCTCGTGTTCCCCCTCTCTGGGGCCTCGTGGGCGGCCCTCGTCGCCACCGCTGGATTCGCCTCGAAGTCCTGGCCAGAACGCACCCCGGGGAGAGGTCCGGGGAGAAGCGGTATCGGTACCCTTTGGTCCCCAAAGGGATCGGAGGCGACGATAGGGCGAAGGGCGCAGGGGAGAGCAGCACATGTATCCAGGGGTGCCGAGATGATCTGTGTCTTCGACAAGGCTCCCTGGGCGAATGCGTGCAATGCCCGCCCCTGGGCTGTTCGCCCCTATCGTCGCCACCGAGGGAGGCTTCGGAGGCAACTCGCGGGAGGTCTTCGTCGGAAGGGTTCGGATGGATGGAGCCCTTACTGGGGGGGCTGCCGCGCGCCGGGCTGGGCCGCGGGTGTAGCGAGAGGCGGGTGGAGCGGGGTTGAGCCGGAGTGAGCGGGATGAAGTTGGATTCAGCCGGGTTTGATGAGCCTGTTTTCCACCACCACCACCATGAGTTGGAGGGGGGAAGGAGGAGGAGGAGGAGGAGGAGGAGAAGGAGTACGAAGAGAAGAGAAGGAGGAGGAGGAGGAGGAAGATGAGGAGGAGGAGGAAGAGGAGGAGGAGGAGGAGGAGGAAGACGAGGAGGAGGACCCCCCCCCTCCAACTTATGGTGGTGGTGGTGGAAAACACGCCCATCAAGGTTTCGGGCCAGGGCAGGGTCCCTCCACCTCCAGCGCCCGCCGGGCACGTGGGCCTAGGGGTGGACCTCCGAGGGAGGAAATCCGGGGCTCACTCCGATTTCTCCGATGCGATTCGGCTCGGCATCGGCGGACGCCACGGGGGAGGACCCCGCCATCGTGGCGGCGGAGCACGCCCACCGACTCTCGCTACTCTTCCAGAAGGTGAACGCGCGGGCCGTGCTCCGCAGGCTGCAGGGCCCCGGCAGGGCGCCTGCGGCCAGAGTGTCAGCGGCCACGGCGGCTAGAGCGGCCGACGCTGCCTGAGCCTACCGCAACCACGACCACCCCCAACGCCCCGCTCCAGCAACCCCTTCCCCTTGACCCTGACCACGAACTCGACCACCCACGACCACGACCACGACCAGGACCATAACCGACGACCCCCAGACCCACGACGACCCCCAGACCACGACGGCCGCCGCCGCCCCCCGCCCGCCCCAAACGTGCGCGCTTGCCTGCTGCTGCCTTTGCCGCACCCCCTCTCTTGCATGTTGGCGCCTGCTCGCCGTGTTTTTCCTCTGCCCCCTCGTCCCTTGCCCCTCCTCCTCCCCCCCTGGCCTCCCTCCCCTTCCGGGTAGCACAGCCTGCCCCGAGCCAGCGTTGCGAAGCAGCGCGTTGCTTTTCCCGCAAGAGCTTACGGCATGCTGTGGGCGCGTCGGGGCCGCCTCGTTTGGATGGGGCTGTGGAGCGGACATATTGGGCATTGCTAGGCCAGTTGAGGTTTCCCTGTGTCCTGCTTGGGCCATTTTGGAGCCAGTTCCGACCCGAGTCGACGCGGGATTCCGATATGGTTCCGATGTCTCAGTCGAGGCCTGCTAGCTTGCCGATGTCTGCCGATTCGACTTTCCCCGACTCGTCTGTCGATTTCCGCCGATCTGATGCGTGTCGATCGCCGATCCGACCTGTCGATTCGATTCTGGGTTTTCCTGTTGGACTTCCGAGGGGGGACATACGCATAGTCAGTCAATCCGCATAGTAAGGATGGGCAACTTTCCATGGCAAGGATGGCAAGGGGAAAAGGTCGGAGGCAACCGCAGTCATCGGGAAACGAGCAATGACATCAATATAAAAACAAGGAGGTCCGCGCGGATTTCTAGGTTTTCTTGGATCCGTCGCGGATTCGAGAAATCCGCGCGGACCTCCGGGTTTTTATGTTTATGTCAGTTTACAGCCAACCCGCATGGTAAGCATGGGCAACTTTCCCAAGGGTATGCCCTTGCGTCCTTGCCTCCTCGGTCCATCCTTTTGGCCACGTTCGTTGACCGCGCCCCGCTCGAGAAGCTTCGACACGGTTTTCCAAGGCCTTTGCATCCTCATCGCGCATCCTTCTGATACGGGCCCGCTGCAGGGGAAATATTATTATGGATTTGTCCCCACTGGGGCGGCCGTTTCGCCAGACCGAGCTGCGGGTCGAACGGGAGTAAGGAAGATGGGGCGGGATTGAGCCAGACGAGGCCGGATTATGCCGGCTTTCGGACCTGGGCAAAGTCCTTCCTTTTCCACCTTCCATACCTTCCGACCTCCGCGGAATGTGCGGAATAAGCAATCGAAATTCATGTGGAAGCCTTACGTAATTCTTCAAGGAAGCCCACGTCGATCACATCGGGACAAAAAGGCGCGGAACGTTAGTGCAGAAGGTCCGGCATAATCAGGGGGAGGTAAATCCAGTTGGGGGGTTGTTGCGCCGGAGTGGGCCGCGGATTCAGCGGGATGAAGCTGGAGTCAGCCAGATTCCGCGGGATCAAACCGGACTGAGCCGAGTTTCGGACCAGGGCAAGGTCTGAATTTGACCTCCCAGGACCTGCATCCGACGAAACAGAGCCCCATACTTCGAGCGAAGAGCGTTATGCACATGCACCGACCCTGGCAAGGCCCATCCTTGACCCAAGATCGGTGCATATGCCTTTTTGGCCAAGGAAGGAGGGCGGATGCACCGATCCTGGGCTCAGGATGGGCCTGTCCAGAATCGGTGCACGTGCATTGTTATCTTTCCTCTAGGATTTGCATCCGAAGAAAATGAGTCCCATACCGCCACCTTCCCTCGCCACCCATTTTTGTTCGGCCTCCTGTGGGGCCCCTCATGGCCGTCGTGGCCTTCGCCCCGGAGTCCTGGGCAGAGGGCGCCCTGGGAGAGGTCCGCGAGCAGCGGCAGTTCTCGATACCCGTCCCCGGCGTCGCTCGGGCGTGTGCCTCTCTTCTCTCTCGGGGGCGGCAGAAAAGGGGGTGATGACCAAGGGGGGGTGGATATCATGGCGGGGGCCATGATATTTCCCCAGATTTAATGGCGCCTTTTCTTAGTTTATTACGTCCCTGGTCCCCCTCCCCCTGGGCCGCGCACATGCCGCCGGCCATGATTTGCAGCCCCCTTCTTGGACGCCCCCCTCTTGGCCGCTCCCGACCCGATCTTCTTTCGGCGAGGGCCCTCGAGGGCCAGCTCGGGTCATCCTGCGAAACAGTTAACGCACGAAGCCGAGAAATGCACGTGGTGTGGACCAGGGTTCGGCCTGCACTAGGGGAACGAACAATGGCATAAAACATAAAACTCGGAGGTCCGCGCGGACTTCTCGCATCGTCGCTGGGACCCTGGCGGCGCGTTCGGCACCGTCCCTGGCGCGCTCCGCGCGCCATGGAGGGGGGTCCAGCGCCGATGCGAGACATCCGCGCGGACCTCCGAGGTTTTCTGTCTCTGTCGGTGTGCGCTCCCCTTGTGAACACTGCTGTGGGGATCTCGTGGGCCGCTCTCGTGTTGCTCCCGTTCTGCAGCAGGGGTGGAGCGAAGACCGCACGAGGTGGGAGCGAGATCGGCACGAGGAAGCGGAGCACGCTGTCCAGGTCGAGCCCCGGCCTGGGCGTTCGCGCGATAGTGAGTGCTCGAGTGGGCGATCCGCTGCAGAGGTGTGCTGCCCCAGAGCTGGATGTCTCACCGAGGCCACGAGCCATCTACGACAGTCTCCGTCGTCGATCCGGGGGGAGATGCCGGTGTTGGGGCGAGTCGATGACGCAGTCGATCTCCCAGAATCGGGCCGAACGGAAGGGGGGGATAGGGAAAGGGAGGGTTACGAAATCTGCTGCATGCAGCTGGCTGCGGCCCCACCGAGAGGCCCATTCCTCGAGCCATGGGCGCCTCCGGCGCCGGGAGGCGCCGGGAAAATCCGCTGCGCGAGCTGATTCTCCTCACCCCCCCTTTGCTATCCCCCCCCCCTCGTTCCCCCCGAATAGAAGCGTTGGCCTCCGCAGGACCTGGGCACGAGCGGGGTGCGGGTGTGCGTGGTGCAGCAGCCCCCGCGCCGCGGGGCGGCCCCCGCGGTCCTGCACGAGGCCGCCTCCCGCTGGTCCGACGAGGACGGGGCCGCAGGGCGGCCGAGCGAGGCCCCGGGGGGTGCGAGCTCGGATCGGGCCGGACGAAAGGGGGGGGTGGGAAATCGGGAGCCTCGAGACGGGGGTCAGTGCAGACGGGGGTCAGCCAGAGCGCCCGATCTTGCAGGATCCTGCAGCGCCAGGGTCGCACTGACCCGGGTTTGGGTGCAGGATCCTGCAGGATCCTGCAGGATCCTTCGCATTGACCCGGGTTTGGGTGCAGGATCTTGCAGGATTTTGCAGGCCTGATTGACCCGGGTCTGGATTGACCCGGGTCAGAAGATCCCCGAGGAAAGGGGGGGGTACGAAACTTGCTGCATGCAGCTGGTTTCGGCCCCACCGAGGGGCCCATTCCTCGGTGCATGGTCGCCTCCGGCGCCAGGAGGCGCCGGGCAAGTCAGCTGCGTGAGCCGATTCTCAAACCCCCCTTGTGCTATCCCCCCCTTTCGCCCGACCCGATCGGAGGGGATGTCGGCGGCGAGCGAGGGGGGGGGGTCGGGTTTCGCACGTTGGGGTTCGAGGCTTTCTGGCGTGTTGGTCGTTTCCTGGCGTCTGTCTGCCCTCCGGGCGCGTCCCAGCGGCTGCGCCTCGCCGAGAGCGTTCTGGGGGTGCCCGGGACGTCCCGAGCGGCCACCGGGGAGCCGAGCTACAGTCAAATCCCTAATAAGGACGCGCGGCTTTGCTCAGGGTACCCTTGCGTCCTTGCTCTTCCTTGCTCTTGCGTCCTTGGGATTTTCGTCGTCCGCCGCCCCAAAAATCCCAACTTCGGCTTCCAAGGGGGTCTTGCGTCCTTACCGCGCGTCCTTATTAGGGTTTTTGATTGTACGACCCAAAGACCAAATTCAGTGGGGCGCGGGGAGAAAGTGAGAAGGAGGAGGCCTTCTCAGACGGCGACGGGACTTCTCTGAAGCCCTTGCGCTTTCGGAGAAGTGTTCGGTGTGTTCGGGGGAGGTCTCGAAAGCTTCTCAGAGGGTGGGGGGGGCTTCCGAGCCTTCTGACTTGGCTCATTCGCTCGCCGCCGAACTAAGATCGGGGGCGTCCAAGAGGGGATGGTCAACGGCACTGTAACGGGTACGTACTAACGGGTACTTTGGACATTTTGCGGATAGCGTGGGGGCCCATGCATCTGCTGGCCTCCAGGGTGCCCTGGGCTTCCCCTGGGTCTCGATGGTTTTGCGGTGGCGAGCGTGGCGTTCCCACACCGAAGATCGGTGGACGTCCTGGGGTCTCGGGGTTGGGTTTCTTGTGGAAGATCTCTCGCTTGCCATCGCTCGGACGTGTGCATTTTTCTTTCGGCGAGGGCCATCGAGGAGCATCCTTGATCATTTGGCGAAAAAGCCACGCACGAAACCGACAAAACACAGGGAATGGACGTCCGAGCGATGGCGAGCTCGTGGAAGGGCCTCGTTCTGGCACTGCAGCGCGGCCCACGTCGGGAAGGGCTGGGTTCGCCGGGTCACAGCCACAGTGCCCGCTGTAGTTCAGGAGGAAAAAAACACAGACACAATTAACCGTCGATTCCCCAGAACATGTGGGAAACTATGGGAAGTGGGGGGGGGAAGGCAGACACCCAGAAAATATAGGAAACTATGGGGAATCCTTTTATTTGTGTATTATATATATTTATTTTTATATATATATATCTATATATATATATATGTGTGTGTGTGTGTGTGTGTGTGTGTGCCTGGGGCCCCTTCAAGAGTGCCCGTTGCAGCGGGGTCCCCGCGGGAGAGGCGCCGAGCTGGGCAGGAGCACGCAGAGCCCTCGTGTTCCGTCGGGCCTGCCCCCCTACGGGGGGAATATCCAACACATCGAAAAAAGTCAGGGGGGGATTGTTCTGTTATCCTTCGGCTAGGTTGGCATTCTGTTCGGCCCAAAATCCGCCTGTAAAGGGACATGCCCAACCTGACCCTCGTGGGCCCTGGAAGCGTCTGGGCCCTTTTTGTTTCACCGTGCCCGTTTTGCCGTTTTCTTGCCGCTTCCGTTGCCGTTTTGTTGTTGGTTCCGTCGCCGTTTCTGTTGTTGGTGTTTTTGTTTCGGTCTTGGCTCCGTTCCAATGCCGGAGCCGTTTTTGTTAGCTGTTTCCGGTCGCCGATGTTTTGCCATTTCCATGCTCAAGAGTTGTTGTTTGTCGGAAGCGGTGAAACAAATGCCTTGTCGTTCCCCGGGGCCCATTAAGGAAGGGGATGGGCAGGGGTACGCGGAGCGAAGCCCCGACAGCGAGGCCGGAGTATCTTCTCTCAGACCTTGCGCCCTGATTTTCCGCATTTTTGTTTCGATATGGTTTACGTGGGCTTGTCCTTCAGTTGCGTACGGTTCCCAGGAGGTTCGACGGATCCTTCCGCGCCGTCCGCGGAGGTCGGAAGGCATGCAAGGTGGAGGTGGAGGGCATGCGGAGCGAAGCCCCGAGCGCGAGGCCAGACAATGGGCTCCCGTGGGGAGAAGTCAGGTCTGTAGCAACACACACAGACGCATTCAAAGAACCGTCGGTTTCCAGGAGCAGATGGACAGCACAGGGGAAGTGGAGGGGACGACGAACACCTCGAAGCTGTGGAGCCTGGGTGGGGAGTCCTGGGACGTTCGCCTATGGATTTGTGAGTTCCCTGGCCCCTTCGAGAGGCGAGGGTGGGAACATGGGCGGGGGCGGGGCGCCGGGGCGCCTGCCCCAGGCCCGACCTTTACTACCCAGCCCCTCCCTCCCCTCCTCCTCCTCCTCCTCCTCCTCCTCCTCCTCCTCCTCCTCCTCCTCCTCCTCCTCCTCCTCCTCCTCCTCCTCCTCCTCCCTCCACCACCACCACCACCTCCTCCTCCTCCTCCTCCCTCCACCACCACCTCCTCCTCCTCCCTCCTCCACCTCTCCCTCCCTCCCCCTTCAATCTCGAGAGGTCCTCGGCCCGCCCCTGGGCGGAGCGGAGGCAGGACCCGCCCCCCCCCTTCCTGGGCCGCTCGCGGGCATTCGCTCGGCCAGCACGGCACACACGTGGGTTCGAGCCCTGCAGCAGCTGCTGCGGGCCGTCGACGCGCGGCTGCTCGAGCGCGTCGACGCGGTCGCAGTGAGTGGCACGTCTGCTTCCGTTCTCCTCGTGGACGGCGCCACTGGGGAGGTGGAGCGAGAGGCCCGCATGTACAACTACGCGGTGGAGGGCCCCGCAGGGTCTTCGTCGATGGACGTCATCGCGCGGCACGCCCCCGGAGGGCACGCGGTGAGGTCCCGAACCTCCTCGCTCGCGAAGCTGCTGAGCTGGCAGTTCGAGCAGCCCCTGTCCAACGCCTCCCGCTTGGTGCACCAGGCCGACTACGTCGCCGCCGCGCTCGCGCGGGGCATCGGCGGCGGCGGCAAGGGCGGGCCCCGGGAGTTCGTCTCCGACTGGCACAACGCCCTCAAGCTCGGCTTCGACGTGGAGGCGCTGCGCTGGCCGGGCTGGCTGCTGGGGGCCCTGGGCGAGGCAGGCGTGCCGGCACAGGCGCTGCCCGCCGCCGTGGTGCAGCCGGGCGTCGGCTCGGAGATGTCGGTTTCGGCCGCGGGGCGCGCGGACTTTGGGCTGCCGGAGGGGTGCCGGGTGGTGGGCGGCACCACCGACTCCATCTTGGCGGCGCACAGAGGGGGGTAGGGGGAGAGGGGAAGGGCTTCTCAGAAGCATCCCCGCTTCTCAGAAGGCGCGGGCCTTCTCTGTAGACGTAAGGCCGAGGCCTTCTAAGAAGCAGGGTGCTTCTAAGGAGCCTTCCCCTCTCCCCCTACCCCCTGTTGCGCGCCGCCAACCATCGCCGCCTTCCTGGCCTCCGGGTGCGACCAGGTCGGCCAGGCGGTGACCTCGCTGGGCTCGACCATCGCGATCAAGATGCTGTCGGACGTGAAGGTGGACGACGCGGGCTTCGGGATCTACTCGCACCGCCTCGACGACGCGTGGCTCGTCGGAGGCGCGTCGAACGTGGGCTGTCGAATTTTCCGGCACCTGCAGTTCACGGACGAGGAGTTGCGATCTCTCTCTGGGCAGATCGACGTCCCGTCAGAGCCGGAGAACACATGGGGGTATTACCCCCTCGTCGAGCCAGGCGAGAGGTTCCCCGTCAACGACCCAGCTCTCCAACCAAGGCCGATGAGCGAGAAACTGCCAACCAGCCCCGATGGCCTCTCCCTAGCCCGAGTCCCCCCCCAATCCTAATCCCTTTTCATCGTCTGCCCTTCCATTCGCTCCTCTGTTCACCCTCCCCCTCCCCCCCTGTCCCAGGAGAGAAAACACACGTACACAATTAATCGTCGATCCCCAAGAAAGTATTGGAAATTCTCGGAGGTGGGGGGGAAGACGAACAGCAAGAAAATGTTAGAAAATATAGGGAATCGTGGCATTTGTGTGTATATCTCTGCGTGTGTCCCTTGGCCCCTTCGGTGTCTCTCATCCTCTCCCTGCCCTCTCCTCTGCCCTGGCCCTCCCTCCCTGCCTCCTTCCCACCCGCCCTCCGGGCCCCTGCCTTCCCCAGCTCATTCCCTCCCCCTCCTCTCCCCCACCCCTCCCTCCCCCCTTCCCTCACGATCAAGTTGGGCATGTCCCTCTGCACGGGGAAAAGCCACACATAATCAAACATAGTCTGGTGACGATTTTTTGCTGACTTGAGCATCTGTTTACGAGTTATTCCCCATACACACTGGTATTGAGTCCTCGTTTTGAAGAGACAGCGCCCTGCGCGCGTCTCCTCCTTCTTCCTCGCCCCTCGTCCCTCCTCCCCCTCCTTCCTCCTCCGCTCCAGCGGGAGCTACACCGAGTCCCAGTGGCGCAGTTCGCATGCGGTTCCTGCGCCCAGTACAGCATTTCGTGGCCCCAGAGGGAGCCCCACCGAAGGTCCCAGTGGCGCAGTCCGCATGCGGTTCTTGCGCCAAGTACAGCGTTGCATGGCCCCATAGGGAGCTCAACCGAAGGTCCCAGTGGCGCAGTTGGCATTCGCTACTCGTGGCCCCAAAAGAAGCTCAACCGAGGGTCCCTGTGACGCAGTTCGCATGCGGTTCCTGCGTCCAGTGCGGTATTTTGCTGCTGCCCCAGAGGGAGCTCCACCGAAGGTCCCAGTGGCGCAGTCCGCATGCGGGTCCTGCGCCCAGTGCCACGTTGCGTAACCCCATGAGGAGCTCCACCAAACATCCCAGTGGCGCAGTCCGCATGCGATTCCCCCGCCCAGTAGAACGTGGCCGGGAGCTCAACCGAGGGTCCCGGTTGCGCAGTCCGCATGCGGGTTTCTGCGCCCAGTGCCACGTTGTGTGGCCCAATAGGGGGCTCCACCGAAGGTTCCTGTGGCGAAGTTCGCATGCGGTTCCTGCGCCCAGTACAGCGTTCCATGGCCCCAGAGGGAGCGCCACCAGAGGTCCCAGTGGCGCAGTCCGTATGCGATTCTCCCGCCCAGTACAGCGTTTCGTGGCCCCACAGGGAGCTACTTCGAAGGTCCTGGTGGCGCAATTCGCATGCGATTCTCCCGCCCAGAGCAGCGTTTCGTGGCCCCACAGGGAGCTCCACGGAAGACGATACCCACACCTGCGGCCTTCACAATTGCTTATGGTTGGTTTCTTCGCCAGGCTAATTTTGTCTCCCAAAATTCGCCTGTTGGAGAACATGCCCGACCTGACCCTACGATCAACCGTTGTGAGTGTGCATGTCTCCCTCCCTTCCTTGTTCGTGTGCAGGCCGACAACCTGCCATTTGTGCACATGAGCGACGCTAAAGGCACAGTTTCGATTGCGCCGACACTGGCGCGTAAGTTGCTCGCGTAAGGTCGCGCGCGCGCGCCTTCGTTCCCAATTCAACGTGCCGCGCTGGCGGCCCCGCGTAAGCCGCCGGGCCATTGTCTTCACCTCCCGCCTGAGGAGGAGGAGGAGGAGGAGGAGGAGGAGGAGAAGGACGAAGACGAGGACGAGGAGGAGGAGGAGGAGCAGGACGAGGACGAGGAGGAGGACGAGGAGGACGAGGAGGAGGAGGAGGAGGAGGAGGAGGAGGTCTGGAAGCTCCCGTGTCTGACGGCTGAGGCTTGCCGCGGTTGCGCTCTTCCCTCGGGGCGCCTCCGGGGCCGCTCCGGCCGCGTTCTGCTCCTGTCCCGGACGGGGGCTCCTAGAGTCAGAAGAGGAAAAGGTACCCATACCTGATGATGCTCCAACCTACTTCAGCCTTGACCACCAGGAAGAATTTCGAGCGCCGGAAAAGTACCCAACAACTCAAGGTTTTCATGTGTCGTGCCCTTGGACCTTGGAGACACTTGTCCGACACTGTTTCGATACTATTTCGACACTCATTCGACACTTTTCTGGGTGCTCGAAATTATTTTTGGGATGTGGTCCTTAAGTAGGACGGGAGCAACATAACCCATACCTCTACCCTTCGCCCGTTTTTCCCTTTTTGGGCCTCCTGGGAGGCCATCGTCGCCACCGTTGGATTCGCCTCGGAATTCTGGTCAGAACGCACCCCGGGAGAGGTCCAGGGAGTAGCGGTATCGGTACTTGTTGGTTTCCCCATAGAGGTGGAGTTGGGGAACGGGCCCAGCTGGATGCTCCCGCTTCACGCGTTTCCTCCTGCAGGGGGCGTTCGGAGCGATTCTCCTACGAAGGATGACGTGAACATAAGAACTCGGAGGTCCGCGCGGATTTCTCGGATCGGCGCTGGACCCCCCTCCTTGACGCGCGGAGCGCGCCAGGGGCCGCGCTGGAGGCGCCTCCAGGTGGCCCCAGCGACGATGCGAGAAATCCGCGCGGACCTCCGAGTTGTTATGTTTGTGTCATTCTCCGTGTCCCTATTCCAACCCCACCCTTGTCCCCCACTAGGGGGCCACATGCGAACCCTACCCCTACCCCCCACGATTTCTGAGGGGGAGGGTGGGGTTCACTTCGCTCGGGAGCTCCCGAGCGAAGTGAACCCCACCATCTCCCTCAGAAATCGTGGCACCCTTCCCTGACCTTCCAGGAGGGCTAAAAAATAGCACGCGACTTAAAAACCTATCCCAGAGCTATTTCCCTACCTAGGCTCTGCCTAGAAGGGTTCTTACTCGGTAAACTTAAAGGGCCGGGCAGTGGTCCACGCCCCGGGCGGTTCCCCCGGCATCCGCCCCGCGGTTCCCCCAGTGACTTTCCCTTAGCTTAGCTCTGCTTATTGCATCTTAGCTTAGCGTATTTCATTCCCTACCTAGGCTCTGCCTAGAGGGTTCTTACTTGGTTTGCTTAAAGGGGCCAGGCAGTGTAGGCCGCCCTGGGCGGTTCCCCCAGTCCCCGCCCCGCGGTTCCCCCAGTTGCGACCCCTAGCTTTAGCTTTAGCTTCAGCTTCAGCTTCAGCTTTAGCTTTAGCTTTAGCTTTAGCTTAGCTTTAGCTTTAGCTTTAGCTTTAGCTTAGCTTTAGCTTAGCTTTAGCTTAGTTTTAGCTTAGCTTTAGCTTAGCTTTAGCTTAGCTTTAGCTTTAGATTTAGCTTTAGCTTAGCTTTAGCTTAGCTTTAGCTTCGATTCAGCTTAGCTTTAGCTTAGATTTAGCTTAGCTGTAGCTTAGCTGCAGCTTAGCTGTAGCTTAGCTTTAGCATAGCTTTACCGTTACTACTAATGCTGCTTTCCTAGGGGCTCCAACTCCTAGGTAGGGTCGCACTGGGATAATATATGTCTTGGTTTTAGGCTGTTTCGTTTTGCTTTTTTGGTTTTTAGGCCTCCCGTACTAAAAAATAGCTCTCTGGAAGATCAGGGTCCAACCCCACCATGGTACCCCACCCCACCTCTGTGCCCCCCCCGGCCCGGGCGCCCGCCGCTCAGGCTGGAGCCCCGGCCGCCCGACCGCGCGGAGTTCTTGCGGCGGCTGCTGATCTCGATGGGCGACGTAGAGCGCGTGGGGTGCTCGGCCGACGGCAAAGCTCGGGAGCCGGCCCTTCGAGCAGGGGGGTTCGACGAAGAGAAAACGCCATAAGTCGGGGGTGGACAGACCTCCTGCCCTGACACGTCGATGAAGGAGTTGCCCGTTTTCGGTTCGCGAGAGGGCGTCGCGGCCATCATTTTTGCGGGTCCAGGTCCGTCGGTTTTGGTCCCAGGCCGTTTCCACTAAGGGAGCCTGCCCTTCGAGCAGGGGATTTCTTCGATGCTCGTTTCGGGGACCTTCCTGGAGCCCACCTAACGGATCTGTTCGACCCCCGTTCGACTCAGGTTCGATTCAAGTTCGATTCAAGTTCGACTCAGGTTCGACTCAGGGTCGACCCAACTCGACGGACGTTCGACGCAGCTTCGACGCACGAGTGGAGCGAGTGGCTCCAGGAAGGTCCCCAGAACGAGCATCCAAGATTTCGACGAAGAGAAAACGCCATAAGCACATAAGCTTTGGGCGCTCTGCGCGGATCTCTCGGATCCGCGCTGGGCCCTTCGGGCGTCGCCTCCAGCGCCGCCCCCGGGCGCAGATCCAAGAAGCCCGCGCGCAGCGCGAAGAGTTTATGTCGATGGCGTTGTCTCCTCTTCCAGATCTTGGGAGCCCGCCCCTCGAGTAGGGGATGGACTACAGAACTTGGTGTACCCCGAAGTTGCATCTCCCCACCGAGAACGCTTGGCAGATTGGCAGACTCCTTGCAACATCTGCTGAGAGTTCTGAGTCCTGTTCCGTGGATTTGGCGAGAGTTTCAGCCCTGGGGTAAGGTAGTGTCTGCAGTCGATCCCCTGCTCGATCCCGCCACGTCCGCCCTCCCTTGGGGGGGGGGGGGGGGGGGCAAACGAGATGGGTCAAGGGCGGGGCCGGGGGAGGTGCCCCGCCCCCGCCCATGCTTCCCTCCTCGCCTTTCGAAGGGGCCCGGCCGGGGATTCACATATCGATAGGCTTAAGTCGGGCCTGTCCCTCTGCAGGGGGATCTTCGTCGAAAAATTAGAAATACCCCAAACATATTCCAGAATGGTCAGGAAATGCTTTAAAAATAGTTCCCATACTGTTTTTGAGCTATATTTTGATGATTTGTGGTGCATCTTTTATTTTTCGTGTCCCCCTGTAGGGGGGGGGGGGGGGACAGGCCCGACTTCATTCTAGAGGTTCGTCGTCCCCTCCACTTCCCAGCTGCTGTCCATCTGCTCCTGGGAATCGACGATGCTTTGGAGTCGTCTGTGCGTGTTGCTACCCCTCCCGATTTCTTCCCCACGGGGGCCTATTGTCTGGCCTCGCGCTCGGGGCTTTGCTCCGCGTGCCCTTCACCTCCGCCTTGCATGCCTTCCGACCTCCGCGGACGGCGCGGAAGAATCCGTCGAACTTTTTGGAAACCTTACGCAACTCAAAGGCAAGACCACGCAGACCGTATCCAAAAAGGGGGCGGAAGGGTAGGCCAGGTGTAGAATAATGAGTGAAGCCTTACGTGCCCTCTCAATTCCGTCTTTGGTGTGTCGGGTGTCGACTAGCGCCGATTCGCGTCTTGTTATGGATGAGATAGCGCCTATTCAGAGTCGTTCACCGTCGATTCGCGTCGATTTAGCGTCGACAAGCGCCGATTTGCGTCTATCAGCAACCAGTCGAGTAGTGCACCGATACAGAATTGATCGACCCCCAAAACAATGTTTACATCGACTCTGCAAACCAATAGCTACGTGTAATGTTCCTACATCTGCAGAGACTGCTACGTAGCGCCTGTAGATTCGAAACAAGGTTGGAGATACATCAATTCTGTAGTCGATGCCCTGCTCGAAACAACATGGTATGAGGTTCGCGAAGCTGGCCGAGCTGGGCGCTGGGCCCCTGCGCGAGGTGCGCACGGCCGGCGGCGGCAGCCAGAACGAGGCGTGGCGCCTGGTGCGGGAGCGGATGCTCGGGGCTCCTTATGCCCCCCCTCAGGGCTCATTTCGATTCTTTCGATTCGATTTGATTTCGTTGGATTCTGATTCCGGTTCGATTCGAGCTCGGCTTTCGGTTCGGGATCCATCCTCTCAACGGAGGCTTATTAGACTGCGGATGGCCGCCGATTCGACTCCTCCCGACATGGCTGCCGATGTCCGCCGAGCCGGTTCGTGTCGATCGCCAATCCGACTTCTGAGTTCGATGTTGGGCTCTCCTGTTCTCCCCCTCCCCTCGGCGGCGAGCGAGGGTGGGAGGTGAGAAGGAGAAGGCCTTCTCAGAAGGTGGCAGGACTTCCCAGAAGCCCTCGCGCCTTCTGAGAGGTTTTGTTTTGGCTTCGGGGAAGGCGTAGCGAACTTCTCAGAAGGCCGGGGCTTAGTGGGCCCTGGAAACGACAGGGCCGTTTTTTTACCGGTTCCGTTTTGCCGTTTTTTGTGCCGGTTCCGACGCTGTTCTTTTGCCGGTTCCGTCGCCGTGTTTTTATCGGTTCCCGTTCCGGTTCCAATCTTGGAGCCGTTTTTGTTGCCGTTTCCGGTCGTTGTTTTTTGCCGTTTCCATTTTCAAGGGACATTTGTTCGGAAACGGTGAAAAAATGATTTTGCCGTTTCCGGGGCCCACCAAGGCCAGGGGACTCCCGAGACTTCTCAGAGGGCCCGCCCTTTCTTTTTTCCCCCCCGCGCTCGCCGCCGAAGAGAAGAGGTGGGACAGCGACGGCCACCGCCGGCGCTGGGGAGGAGGGAGGGGGGGGAGGGCGGCGATGGGGGCGAGTAGCCCAGGGGAGGGCAGCTATGGATCCGGAGGCGCCGAGAGCCCAGGCCTCCCGTGAGGTTCCCAGGCAAAGGCGTGTGATGCCTATAGCCCTGGGCCGGCAGTCGGACCAAGGACAGAAGAACGTCCTTCAAGAGCATGAGACCCTCCGCCGGCCAAAATGAAGAGCATTCACAAGAGTAGCCCATAAACACGAAGAACACCAGTGTACACTCCCCCCGAACCGATCTCAAACTTTACCTCCGTCCAACTGTCTTCGCCTCCATCGTGGCTTCCCGGGGTGGGGGTGGGGGGGGGGAGGGCCGGGACGTGGCGGCGAGCCCGGAGGGAAAGTGAGAAGGGGCGGGCCTTCTCAGAAGGCTCGGCCGTCCCCCAGCCTTTGAGAAGTGTTCTGCACCTTCCCCGAAGGCACCGCAACCTTCTCCGAAGGCTCGAAAGGGCTTCCGAGAAGTCCCGCCACCTCCTGAGAATCAGGAGGAAAAAAAACACACAGACACAATTAGTCGTCGATTTCCCAGAAAATATGGGAAAATATGGGAAGTGGTGGGGAAGACAAAAACCCAGAAAATATAGGAAAATATGGGGAATATTTTTATTTGTGTGTATTTATTTGTGTGTCCCAGTTTCCCTTCAGAGAAGGCCTCGTCCTGCTCGCTTCCTCCCCCCCTCGCTCGCCGCCGATCCCTGCCCTCGCCCTGCTCGAAGCCGCTCGTGCTCGCTTCTCCGCCCCTCCCCCGTCCTTCTCCTTCCCTCTCCTCCGAGAGAGCCCGTCGGTCCCAGGACCTCGTCGGGCGTCGGCTCTCTTCGTCCTGTTCGGCGGGAGAAGGGGGGAGATGGCAGGAGGGAGGAGCTGAGGGATGGGGCAGAGAAGAGGGATGGGAGAGGAGGGTCGAGGAGCAGAAAGCGCTAAAGTTTCTTTTGGCGCTCCGCGCGGTTTTCTTGGATCTGCGCTGGTCCCCACCTGGCGGCGACTCCGGCCCCGCCCATGGCATGCTCCGCGCGCCAGGGAGGGGGGGCCCGGCGCGGATCCAAGAGATCCGCGTGGAGCGACACAAGTTTCTGTTTATGGCGAGCGTTCTTCTTCTAGCGAGAACGGAGGGATGGGAGACGAGGGGTGCTGGGACACGAGGGTGCAGAGGCTCTCCTCCAGGTTCCGGTCTCTCGGGCGGAGCACAGCGACGCGGCGTACGGCGCGGCGCTGCTGTCGCTGCGCGGCCTCTGAGCGCCCGCGGTACCACGCCGGTTCCAGCGGCAGCACTACCTCCTCCCCTCTCCGCGCCCCACCCCCTCCCCTCGCTTGCCATCCCTCTCTCCCGTCTCCCCCATCGCTCTGGTGGCCAGGCGGGAGGAGAGGGGGAGGTGTGGAGCGGGCGGCGAAGGAGACGGCAGCGGGGGCGGCGAGGCGGGGTATCTCGCAGAGGAGGCGCGGAGCAGTGTCGGGGCGCATGCAAGGGGGGGCGTGGGGGGGCCAGTGCCCCTGCTCGCCGAGACGTCCCTCTTTCATGGGCTTGGTTTCCACCACCACCACCATAAGTTGGACGGGGACAGGAGGAGGAGGAGGTGGAGGAGGAGGAGGAGGACGAAGAGGAGGAGGAGGAGGAGGAGGACGCAGATGAGGTGGTGGAGGAGGAGGAGGAGGAGGAGGAGGAGTACCCCCTTCCCCTCCTACTTCTGGTGGTGGTGGTGCAAAACAAGCCCACCACTCTTCCCTTCCTCCCCAGCCCGCTGGGGGAGCCCAAAGGTAATCACCGCTGCTCCCCGGGCCTCTCCCTTGGGATGCGTTCTGACCAGACGTCCGAGGCGAATCCAGCGGTGGCGACGAGTGGGCATCCCAGTGGGCCCAACAAGGGGGGGAAAACCGAGCCGAGAGTGCAGCGGTATGGGGATACCTGCCAGGAGGGGACAAAAAACACACACACAGACACAATGAATCGCCGACTTTCAGGAAAAGGATGGGAACAACTGGGACGTGAGTGGGGGGGCAGCGACGGCAAGCCCCGAAACTATATGGGAAAAGATGGGGAATCTTGGAAGTTGTGCCTACACCTATATAGATATCAAAATAGATATATACATCTATATGGAGAGAGAGAGAGAGAGAGAGAGAACAACACACAAATCGATCTATACGTGTGTCCCTGGGCCTCTTGATCCTGTCCCTCCTCGGACCCCTACCCCCCCCCAGACATCCGACGTCTCGATTGTCTCGAGACACGGACCCCCGACCTCCCAGCCACTTCCCCGGGGTTGGCTCCTCCTCCCGAGTCCTTTTCTCTTGACGGCCCGGCGAGTGCCCCGAGAGGCCAGAAGCTACGAAAAACCTTCGCCTCGATTTTCGGGCCGGACAAAAGGGGGGATTGGGAAAGGGGGGGGTACGAAATCTGCTGCATGCAGCTGCTTTCGGCCCCACCGACCGGCCCATCCCTCGATGCATGGCCGCCTCTGGCGCCGGGAGGCGCTGGGAAAATCAGCTACGCGAGCTGATTCTCAAACCCCCCCTTTGCTATCCCCCCCTTCCGCCCGACCCGAGCTTTGCTGTCTGGGCCCCCGCCCGACCCCGCCGCCCTGCGCGCGAAGCGGCGCGCGCCCGTTCACGGCGCTGCCGCGGCGGGCCCCCGCCCGGCGCCGGCAGGCGTCGCCCGGCAGGCCGCGCGGGCCGGGCTACTGGGAGGACCCCGCGCCGCCCGCGTCCTCCTCCTCCTCCTCCTCCTCCTCCTCCGCCTCCTCCTCCTCTCGGGGGCGCCAATCGGGGCTCAAGAGACGGGGGTCAATGCAAACGGGGTTCAGCCAGGGCACCAGCAGGGGAACAAAGAGTGGCGTAATCATAACAACTCGGAGGTCCGCGCGGATTTCTCGGATCGGCGATGGGGCTCAAGGGATCTACACGCGCACGAAATGGGTACGGACAGAGTGGGTACAATGCCCAACACCAGTTCCTGTTCATTTTGAACAGGACTCGCTGTCCGCGCCGCCGCGGCCTGTGTCCAGTTGGGGACAGGAGGCCTCCTGCCCAACAGCGGCCGCTGTTGGCTTGGGATAACATTTGTTGTTGGGCATTGTACCCATTTTTTCCGTACCCATTTCGGGCGTCCAAAAGAGACGGGGGTCAATGCAAACGGGGGTCAGCCAGGGCACCAGATCTTGCAGGATCCTGCGAAGACCCCCCTGTGGCTGACACGGGCTTGCGTAGGGAAACAAAAGATGGCATAAACATAAGAACTCGGAGGTCCGCGCGGATTTCTCGGATCGGCGCTGGGGCCCCTCGGCGGCGCCTCCGGCGCCGCCCCTGGCGCGCTCCGGGCGCCAGGGAGGGAGGTCCAGCGCCGATCCGAGAAATCCGCGCGGACCTCCGAGTTGTTATGTTTATGCCACTCTTTGTTCCCCTAACCAGATCCTGCAGGATCCTGCGAAGACCCCCTCTGGCTGACCCGGGTTAGCGAGCCGCTCGTGGCCGCGAGGCGGCCGCGCATATTGGCTGACCCAGGTTTGCGAAGCTCTGCGTTGCAGTTTGTGTTCTTGCACTGCAGTTTTTTGGTTCCTGCTGACCCGGGTCTGGTTGACCCGGGTTAGCAGGTCCCCGAGGCAAAATGGGGGGGTGATGACTAGGGGGGTGGATATCATGGCGTGGGCCATGACATTTTCCCAGATTTCATGGCGCCACTTCTCATTTCATTACGTCCCTGGCCCCCCCGTCTGGCCGCGCACATGCCGCCGGCCATGATTTGCACCCCCCCGCTGTTGGACGCCCCCCTCTTGGCCGCCCCCGATCCTCGTGAGTCGGGCATGTCTATCGTGCCGTCGCGTGCTTCTCTGGCCTTCCTCATGTGTTGGTTGGACCGCTTTGCTGCCCTTCTTTACTCTTTCGCTGGTGCGGATTGCCTCTGCCTCGCCGCCGACTGAAAAGTGTTGGTTGGACCGTCCCCTGTGGACACGCGACATAACAAAACAAGCGATGTGGTGCCGCGACGCAGCGGCGCGCTTCCGAGCGGTGCGTCTCCTGCGCGACACCAGGTGGCAACACAGGTTGCGGCATGAGGGCTTCGCACAATTGTCCGCAAGGCGTCCGCATCTGGCCAGTTTGAAACATACCCCTATCCTATGTTTGGCGTCGCCTCACGTCGATGCCGATCCTGAGGATTCCCTCAGTTTCTGAGAGCCTATCCCTACTCCAGATTTCGTAATAAAGGGAGGGGGGTCTCATTTCGGGGGGGGGTCTCTTCCAGGCTATCTTGGAGGGGTCTGGGGACGATGTTTTGGAGGGTTCTCCCACGGGGGGGGGTCTGAAATGGCTTGTCTTGGAGGGTGCTCTCCCCTCCCTTTTATTACGGAATCTGGAGTACTGATATGATCCTCGCTTTTTGCTCGCCCACCTTATAGGGATAGGGATCAGCTCGAGGCTGGCTATAGCATCCTTGGCGTGTGATGCCCCGTCGCCGTGCGCACCGCCGCGCGGGCCTCTCGGCAGAGGTCATGGCGCCCTGCGCTGCGCCGGGAGCCCGCGGGCGCGCCGTGGCTGCTGCAGGAATGCCGTCGGGCCCTCGAAAAACTATTCGTTCCCTGCCAATTCTTTGGACATAATATATGGCAAGGAAGCTCTACGAGTCTCTCGGCGGTATGAAAGGTTGACGGTTTACCGCCGGCGCCCAGTGGCTGCTGCAGGAATGCCGTCGGGCCCTCGTGCGGTTTGATGCGTTCAGTCTGCCGCGAGTTCGTCTGCGCCAGTGGTTTGATGCGTCCTGTGGTCCAGTGGTTTGACGCGTCCAGTGGTCTGATGCGTCCGGTCTGCCGCGAGTTTGGGCGTGTGCTCTCGTCATGCCCCTTTTCCCTGGGGTTCCCCATGCTTCTGCGGGCAGGGGCGCTGGGCGAGGCCACGAGCATCAGGACCTTCTGGCCTTGAAATCGGCACGGCTCGCATGGGGGTGCTTCCCAGTTCTGTGCTTTTGTGTGCCTTTCGTTCCTCTCAGTGCTCCTCGTCGTTCTCATCCCCCTCCTCCTCCTTTCCACTCCTCCTCCTCCTCCTCCTCCTCCTCCTCCTCCTCCTCCTCCTCCTCCTCCTCTTTGTTCCTCCTCCTCCTGGACGGGGAGGAGTAGGATTAGAAGGAGGAGGATCGCATGAGGAGGAGGAGGAGGAGGAGGAGGAGGAGGACACACAAGGATGAGGAGGAAGCAAGCAACAACAAGACCAAACACTAACATCATCCAACAACGACATTACACGAAGCACAGACAAAACCAACAACGTGTTGGACGTTTTCGCCTCGCAGTCTGTACTATCCCAGAACATTGTTTTGTATTGTTGTTTTGACGTGTATTGTATTGTTTGTTTGTTTTGATGGTTGCGTATTTCGCTTAGGGCGAGGAGGGAGGAGGACGATGAGGAGGAGGAGGAGTGGCGGGGGTGAAAGAGGGAGAGAGAGAGAGAGAGAGAGACAGGGAGGGAGAGAAATCAAAACATACAGAAATAGAAACTGAGCGAAAAAGAGAGAGAGAGAGAGAGCGAGAGAGAAAACGAGACAGGGAGAGAACGAAAGAGTGATGCCAGTCAGGGAGCTGGCAAGAAGAGAGACGGGGCATAATCACAAACCCTTCAATTCACCAGGCCCCCTTTACCCCTTTTACCCCCTTTGCCGCTGTCGCGTTGGTGTCCCATTGGAGTTGGATCCCCATGGCTGCTGCACTGATGCTGGGGTTGCCACGTGACGGATGGCTTGCGGCGTGTGTTTTATGGTGATATCCTTTTGGTTGGCGCTTTGTGGTTTGTGCCGTTCCGTGTCCCATGGTATGCACCCCGTAGCGTGCACATCTGAAGTGTTAGAATCCACTGTTCTGGGCCCCGGCATCGGCATCGTACTCACGCCAATTATGTTTAGCACCGCGTAGTTCGTTGTTCATTATTGTGGTCTTCGCAGTTCCAAAGTAAGTATAAAATGTTGTAGGTCCATGTTGGCCCAGGGAGTGCAGCAGGGAAGGCAGCGGACGAGGATGGGTGAGAGATACGTGAATCGGGAGTGAGAATCCGGGGACGGGGACGACTGCGAGAGGAGGAGCCAGACGTTCGGAAGGGTTTCATCCCAATAAACCTACACTTTGCCCGACACGAGTTGGCCTGCGGCAGGTTCTCCAACAGCAGGTTCAGAAGCTTCCGCACCACCTGACGTATGCTCAAATAGCTCGGGAGGCGACGTCTGAGCCAAAGAGATCCTTGCAATCACCATGAGTCTCTGTCGCTGTACCGCTACCGGCCTGGATTTAGTCTGCATGTAGTTGGCACCCGATTTCGTGACCCTTGCCTTGCTGCTGCGTTTTGTCCTCCGGGTTTCCTCCTGGGTGCCCCGAGGGAGCTGTCCTCCTCTGCTTCACGGTGGGTGCTCTCTAGGCGCGAAGGGCCTGCTCGGGATGCCGGGGCGGGGACGGCGCGCCGGTCGCCCCGCGGCAGTGGCCGCAGCAGCTTGCACGTCTGGCGGCGTGAACGATGGCCTTTGTTTCGGCATGCCCCTGGCATCGCTCGGACGTGTGCATCTTTTCTCGGCGAGAGCCATCGAGGACCATCCTGGACCATCGAGCAGACAAAAACACGCACGAAAAACAGAAAGGTGCACGGGAAGTGGGCCTCCGAGCGGCGGCAGGTGCCCGGGTTCTGAGCTGGCCGGTGTCGTTTCGGATGGCACTGTTGCCTCTCGAGTTTCATGGTCGGGCACGCTCCGTCCCGCAGCACGCGATGGTCCCCCCACCGCTGGCGCCGACTCCTCTCGTCCGGGGGGCGCCCCCGCGCTGGGCCGGAGGAGTCCTCACCCACCTCTGCCGCCCCAGCGAGGCTCATGCCTGCTCCCTTCTGTTTCGCCCGATTCCTCGATGGCCTATTCCTGTGGGTGGCTTCCTGTTTCGTGTTTCTCGTGGGCAAGACATGCCTAAGCAAGCCCACATGAGTCAGGCCTTGCTCTGGAGATGCCGTCGTCACGATAGGAGCGGCGATGGGCCCGCCGATTGGTGATCGCGGATGCCGAGATGCTGTGGCGATGGATGGGGCACGGGCGGGGGGGGGCGGAGCAAGGAAAACACGGAGAGCAGATACGCAGAGCGCAGGGGGGGGCAGAGAGCAGGGAGCAAGGGTAGGGGAACAGAAAGTGGCATAAACATAAAAACTCGGAGGTCCGCGCGGATTTCTCGGATCGGCGCTGGGGCCCCCCGGCGGCTCCTCCGGCGCCGCCCCTTGCCGCCCCTTTCGCGCTCCGCGCGCCAGGGAGGGGGGTCCAGCGCCGATCCGAGAAATCCGCGCGGACCTCCGAGTTTTTATGTTTATGTCACTTTGTGTTCCTCTAGGGAGAGCAGATACGCAGATCGCAGGGGGGGCGGAGAGCAGACAGTTCCTCCTCCTCCTCCTTCTTCTCCTCCTCCTCCTCCTCCTCCTCCTCCTCCCCCTCCTCCTCCTCCTCCCCCTCCTCCTCGCCTGCGCCAGGACATCGGCGTGGAGTGGTGGCACGTTGATCGCGGCTGGGAGAGGCCTGCGCCTTGCCCTCTGCCCGTGCAGAGGTGGAGGGCGAGGACGAGGAGGAGCATGGTACAGCGAGGGGGAGAGGCACGGATTCGGGTTGAAGAGGAGGAGAGGCATGGACGAGGAGGAGGAGGAGGAGGAGGACGAGGAGGAGGAGGAGGAGGAGGGCGAGGCGAGGACGAGGACGAGGACGAGGAGGACGAGGAGGAGAGACATGGATTCGGGTTGACCCAAAAGGGGGTCCAGGGACAAGGGGGTGGTGCAATAGGTGTGATACAATAGATTTGTGGGGTTGCAATACATTTGAGGCGTGCAATACATTCTGGGGCGCAAATGTATTGCTGGATTTTCGCCTGCCATGCATTACTTGCAATACAATGCAATCCAATTCTCCCGCGCAGTACACTTGCAATACAATTGCCCCGAATCTATTGCACCATCCCCTTTCAGCTGGACCCCCTTTTGGGTCACCCAAATGGATGGAGTCGAGGAGCGAGGAGGGCAACGACGAGGAGCGATTGGAAGGGAGGAGAGATGAGGAGGAGAGGGGAGGACGAGGAGGACCTCCCAGTAGTTGCCTCGCGCTACAGTTTGGCACGCTGAGACCAATCCGTAGGCTACGGGGGCGAGGGAACCAGTTGCTTTTACCCCAGCCCGCCACCTTGTCTCGGTTGTGGACCAGGGACCTCTCGGGAGGCCTCTTGGGGGCCTCGCATCCGAGGAGGACAAGGTACCTTCTCTCGTTTCCCCCTTCCCTCGTTTTCCCCCATTTGGGCCTCTTGGGAGGCCCTCGTCGCCACCGCTGGATTCGCTTCGAAATTCTAGTCAGAACGCACCCCAGGAGAGGTCCGGGGAGTACAGTCGGGGCCCTGAAGAAGGAACCCTTTTCTATGGGGAGGGGCTCCGCGTTCCTTGATCGGTCAACGCCCCGACTGTCGCGGTATCGGTACCTTTTGGTCTCCCCATCGTGGGGGCCTTTTTGGGGTCTTTCTCGGGGGCCTCTTGGCGCCTCTTCGGTTCTCCCTGGAGCGTATGTGCGGCCTCTCCCGGGCGATCTCGGTGCGGAGCGTTCGAGGTGTGTTTTCTTGTGCTCCCCCTCTTGGTACCCGTGGGGCCCTCTTGGGCGCGCCCTTGGATTTACCAGCCTGGAACATATCCCTATCCCTTTGCTGGGCACCTCATCACGATGCCAATCTTAGGGATTCCCTTATTTTTTGAGGGCGAATCCCTAAGATTGTCATCGCCTTTTGGCGTGTCAATCTTAGGGATAGGGATACGTTCGAGGCTGGTAATGGACAGGGGAACGAAGAATGACATACACCAAAAAACTCGGAGGTCCACGCGGATGCCTCGGAGATCCGCGCTGGACCCGCTTTGTCGCCCCTTTCGCGCTCCGCGCACCAGGCAGGGGGGTCCAGAGCCTATCCGAGAAATCCGCGCGGACCTCCGAATTTTTATGTTTAGGTCAATATTCGTTCCCCTACTGGATCTTGGGCACTATGAAGACCAGAAGTGCGCGAAAGCCAAGACCACTGAAACGAATACAGGTGTTTCAGTGACTCTGGGGCGTCTTGGAGCGGCTCCCAGAGATTCTAGTAGGCGGAGCGAGAGGTTTCCAAGAGGGTTCCGGACGGGCCTTGAAACAGCCTTCCTCCTCCCCCTCCTCCTCCTCCCCCTCCTCGTTGAGGCAGTCGTAGGCCATGTTGGAGGCACGGGGCCCCGTCCACGTTCGCGAGGCCACTGGACAAGTCATGTGGGCCGCCCCGGGAGCGCCCGAGAGCATTCGAGGTTCTCTTTTCTCTCCCCTCCTCCCGCCTCTCTCCTGCGGTGTGCTGCGCCTTAGTGGGCCCCAGAAACGGCAGGGCCGTTTTTTCACCGTTTCCGAAAAAGGGTCCGTTGAAAACGGAAACGGCAAAAAAAACGGCGACCGGAAACGGCAGCAAAAACGGCTCCAGAATTGGAGCCGGAGCGGGAACCCAGAACAGAACGGCGACGGAACCGGTAGAAAAACGGCGTCGGAACCGGCAAAAGAACGGCAAAACGGAACCGGTAAAAAGGACTACCTTGTCGTTTCCAGGGCCCACTAAGTGCTGGGTTTCTCTTCCACGCGTGCGGTGAGGAGAAGCGCGGCTTTAATGTGCAAGCATTTTCTCGTTCGTACCCCTCACTCGCGATGTTGAGTCTTGATGCCTGTTCCCATCGGGTCCTCGCTCCCATCTCCCGAGGACGGACATGGGCTGGCCAGTTGTCCCCTGGGGCTTCCGGGAGCTCTTGCTGTACATTCAGGTGACATCGCCACGCATGCGATGCGAATTCCGAGTGCACCCCATTCCGTTGACAGAAGGATTGGCTCATGTATGAGGGAGGGCATGGTGAACGAAGGAGGGGCAGGAGGCATAATTGCTCCATCAGTAAACACACGCTCCGCGTGGAGCAGACAGTCCGTTGTTTGGATCAAAGTTCGTGTGACGTAGCGTCGGCGCACCCGCCTCTTTCCGCATCGTCCTCTTGTTTCAAGTTCGTGGAATTGCCCTTCGATTTTCTTCGAAATGACTCCAGATCATTCCGCATGCTGACGTCGCTGGTTGACGGAGCAAGCCGATTTGTGTGGCAAACGAATCCACCGACGGAACGTTGGAAACCGCACATTATCGAGCATATGAAGTCGACCATGGTAATCAAACGTTTCAATTGCAATCCTATGCAAATGGGTCGGAGCGAACCTTAGGTAAACCGTTCCAGTACCTCACTAGTCGAAAGTCTGCACATACAATTCCGGACATTGATCTGTTCATGCTTGATCAGGTTTTATGAAATGATTGGGGTGACTGTCTGCCACCCATCACCATTTTCATGCAAGTGGAACACGAGAGACACGGATGATGCCAGGTATTGTGGAAAACGCAGAGCGATGCGCTCCAACCGTTGGAAGCCCGACGCTGAGTGCGAGGCCATCAGATTCCGATCCTAGGAGGGAACCGTTCGGGGTTAATGGTACGAGTTCGCGGGCGCAAACAGTCGGAGGCAGCGAGGTGCTAATGGCATGAAGTGTTTCGGGTTTTTGTATTGGTGCGGTCGTGACACAAACGAAACAGTCATGACCCATCATATCCAACACCGCTCGAAACCGACGCTTTGGACACGCATCAGAGGCTTACAGAAGAGGTATGTGTTGGACTGCTTCCATAATTCGATTGAAATAGTTGTGTCCTGTGAGTTGCGCTTTGCCCAGCGGTGAACCCGTATATTTGTCTTACACGCGGCCATATACAACGACGACGAACGACAACGTACGGCAACCTGAGCATAGCCTTGCAACGCGTTGATGGAGAGACTGCAGAAACATTGAACGGCGCGCGGTCTGAATTGCCAGTCGAGGCAAAAGCTTTGCGGTCCATGCGGATGTCAGCAATAACACATCTGCCACGGGACGTTAGACGCGGATGCCATCAATAACCCAGATGTAACGAGCACATGCCAATCATGCATATGTAGGCCATGTCAGGGCAGCGCACAGAGGATCGGAGGATGTCATAAGGAGGCTTGGGGTGCTCTGAGGGGAGTAAGGGGTGGGACGATGTCTTATTTAGCGATAGTTGCAAGTCTTGGACATCTCAATGTTGGGTCGCCACGCTTTTGCTTGGCCTTGCGACATAGATTCGCCCCCAGTCTATCGCTTTTGGCATGCATTTGGTGGGTGCCCAGTTTGTGGACTAGAGTGGGCACGCGATCGCACATTCGACAGTTACGTGCGTTCTCAATATGTCTTGTTAGCCGTTGCTTGTTTTACCCTATTCAATCCCCGTTGCATGTGAAGTGTTCATGTTCTTTCATGTTGTGTGGTTGAGTGGCTCCTCCTGCACCCGCAGCGACGGTATTCGCCTCCTGGTGGAATTATCATCACGGAGGCCGCCAGCGTCTTTTTCATGTGTACATCAGTTTTTGTTGTCCGTCTGGTTGTTATTGATGTTGGGCCAAGCGTTGATCGTGATTGCACCGTTAAGCTTTGAGAGAACCATCAATCCATGCCCGCACGCGTGCATGGCCTTGCGCAAGTTGTCTTAATTTTCCAGACTGGCTATCTGAGGCGATGCGTGGATCGGGTGCGGACAGTGTTCTCGGGACATTGCTTGCCTTGAAGAGTTCTCACCCATTAGATTACGGCGGCGGGATGTCAGTGAGTTTGCCCATCGCCAGTCCCCGACAAGGCCCCATGGCCCATGACTAGTGCTGTCGGGGGATGCGTTGGCTCGCCCCCATCGCTGAGAGCCTCCGCTAGCCCCGCTGCCCAACGCCTTTGCCATTTGCTCAGGCCCTCGTACCGCCCAGGACTCCTGTTCTTGCACATCTCTTCTGTCCTGCTGTCCGCTCCAGGCCTCGTCAGCTCGCCAGCGCAGGATGGGCATGCGGACAGGATGTTTCTACCAGGCTCTACCGATAGCCTCGGCAGAACCTTCTTGGTGCCAGTTGGCAACCATTGCTGCAACATGATAACGTGGCGCGGCAGCAACGTTCTACGGTGGTGTCTTTCCCATTGGGGGGCTTCTCGGGGGCGTTCTTCGGGGTCTATTGGGGGCATATCGGTGCTCTTGCTTGGCCTGCTGGGAGTCTCGGGGACGTCTTGGGCGCGATGGTGCTACCGAGCCGAGAGTGTTCACGGTTCGATCGTTGCAGTTGCGTCGCAATCGGTTGTGATTGGTTGTTTCGGTTCGGTCGGTTGTCGTGCGTCGTTGTTGCGTCGTGGCGCCGTTTTGGGTTGCGTGCGGCCTTTCGGCTTCGGTCGGTTCCAGTTCTGTGGTCGGTTCGGTCGGTGCTCGGTGCTGCTGCCGCTTGGCACAGCCGCGCGAGCTCTCCCCGAGGAGGCTCGGTGTAACCCATCGTGTGGCCGTCTGGGCGAGCTTGGCGGGGCTCTGGGGCAGGGGTTTCTGCCGTCGTGTGGGGAGGGGGGGTCTCGGTCCGGGCAGCCTGGGGCCGCCCGGGTGAGTATACACGTAGGCAGTCGAGAGTGGGTATTGTTGGAAGTCCAGGTCCGAAACTATTTCAAGCGCCATCTTATTTCCAGAGTTGGCATGTGTTTGTTTTTGGTTTTGCTGGTATTGTTGAGGTTGGTGTTGTTGTTGATGAGTTTGTGATTCGTGTTGTTGTTCGTGTTGTTGTTCGTGTTCGTGGTTGTGTTCGTCTTGCTGTTATTGTTGATGATGTTGTTGGTTTTACTGATGTTAAAGTCTTTGTCGTTGTCGTCGTCGTCGTTGTTGTTGCTGTTGTTGCTGGTGTTGTTGTGGTTGTTGTTGATGTTGTTGTTGTTGGTGGTGTTGGTGTTGTTGTTGTTGGTGGTGGTGGTGTTGTTGTTGTTGCTGTTGTTGTTGTTGTTGTTGTTGTTGTTGTTGTTGTTGTTGTTGTTGTTGTTGTTGTTGTTGTTGTTGTTGTTTTTGTTTTTGGTTGCCCTTGTTGTTGCCTTGGCACCCTATGGGCGCTGTCTGCGGCCGTTCCAGGTGCCGTGTTCGGGGGGCGTCTCGGATGTGGTGTCTGGTTGCTTGAAGTTCTCCCGAGGCGGTCTTACGCCGAAGCGCGTTGGCATCGTTTGGACGTGTTCATTTCTCCTCTGGCGAGGACCATCGAGGAGCATCCTTGATCATTTGGCGAAACAGCCACGCACGAAACCGACAAACAACACAGGGAATGCGCGTTGGAAGCAAGGACGCGCGTTGGTAGCAAGGACCATGTGGAATACACGTTTTTTACGCGTTGCCAGTGCCTTTCCTTGCCAGAGCCTTCCTGGAGACTGCAGCCTTTTGTCGACCGTTGAGCCGTATCATCTTGTTCATGGATTGGTTGGGTCGTTGTTAACCCGCCTTGAGACCGCGATAGGTGCCAAGGGGGCAACGCTAGTGAGGATGAACGTCGCGGATGCCATCCCAGAGTTCTAAATGGTATTCTAGTCTGGCCCAGCTTGCTGATGAAACGGTCGATGGAACGGTGACGGATTGGGCATCTTGTTTCGCACGGTTTCGTATGGTTTTCTCCACGTCATTGTTTGGGGCTTCCGCTCCGTTAGAACGAGAGGCCAAAACCAGTGGCCTTTGGCCCATCCAGGCGCCGTGTCGTAGACAGTATGCCTCTTGAGAATGCTTCTTGGGGCCTCGTGGGAGGCGCCTCGCGGATCTCTCGGAGGCTTCTCGGTGGCTTTTTCGGATGTGTTGGGGAGCCTTTCTGTGGTGGTCCGCTTGCGGTTTCGGGGCCCATCTTGGCGTGAATCACCACCCGCCAAACCACCCCAACCCAACCCGAAGGCCTCAATTTGCCCTCCATTTCCAGTTGGGGGGGGTCGGGGAAGATTGAACAACCACATATGGAACCCGTACCCCCCCCCAACCCGAAATTGGGGTCTTCGGGTTGGGGTGGGGTGGTCTGGTAGGTAGTCAGTGAAGGGCTCTAAAGGAGCCGTCCTTGGGGCCGCTTGCGCTCCTCTTGGCGGCGCTGAAGCGGTTTTGGGGTGATCTTCCAGGCTTCTTTGGCCGTCTTGGACGCCCTGAATACTGATCACCGTAGGGCACATGGGAAGTGCGGATTCCTTGCCACGCCTAATAGCATGTTCTCTGAAAGAGTCACGCGCAGGGATTCAGGAAGGGCCCATTCCTTGTGATCTGCGCCGTTCAAGATGTGCAATGTTCAACGCAGAGAATTCGAATCGATGTGTGGACACTCCATGTCGTGCCTCAGGGCACGGTGGCAGATACTGGGTCTAGCTGCAAGACATTGACGGGCTCACCCTCGTATTGGGGTGGCGTGTGTTTGGATTGGGATGTTTCTCGCACTGTCAATAGTGCACAGTTGGGCCATTTGTCAGAGCACCCAGCGAAGTGTATCGATGGTTGTCGTATCGGGGATCTTTCTGTATGCCCGAAGTCGGAGCAACGGTGAAATATTGGGGAGGAGGAGCAAGGTAGAGGAGGAGCAAGAGGAGGATGCGACGAGAAGGGTAACAACAAGGAGGAAGCGAAGCGGAGAGGGAAGCACCCCCTTCCAACACAGTGCCCTTCCTGTTCATTCCGCGCTTTGGTGTTACCCTTGCCGCCGCCATTTCTTTCGCCCCTGTCTTCCCCTGCTGCCGCCGCTTGACCCCCTCCCTTGCCGTCCTCATAGTGCGTTGCCGCGTCTCCATCCGCTTGTTGCCCCTCCCCCCTCTCGCTTCAATTCAGTTTCCGTATATTTATTAATTCATCACGCTTCGTGCATCCCCACCAGCCCATTCAGAAACCCCGCCTTTCAGAGCCGACGGGCAAACGGGACGAAGCGACACACCTAGGGCAACAACGCGAGCAAGGGGGTGGCCTTGGAAGGTCTCTTCGGGCCATCCCTGG